AAATTTCATATTCTAAGGCAAATCAAGGAAAATTTAAACATAAATAATTTTCTCTGTCCTTTGGCTGCCTCTCTCCTCTCTGCTGTGCATTACATGTCAGCATTATGCATCGACCAAACCTCCCCACTAGCAGAAATACCTGCTCAACCATAAGGAGCAACTTTCTCCACTCCTTAAACTCTAACATTCCTTCTTAATCTTGTAAGGGGCCACCATGACCCATGACCCACTACTCGCTTTGTGTCACCTGTCAATAATATGTCACTTAATGTACAGCCCTCTGTCTCAAAACCTTATATAACTGTGCTTTGACCTCTAATGGGCAGAACAGTCCCCAGAGCTTTCTGAGTGGCTGTTCCCGGGTTATAATCCTCAATTTGGCTCAAATAAAAATTTCCATTTCTTCCCTAGACTGGTTAATTTTTTCGTTGACATTCCCATTGTACAGCTGTGAAAACTGAGGTGCAGAACAATGGGGTCCCATGGTTAATGACATGTTTTGGAGATTGACTAACAGGTTTTTTTAATCGGCCATTTAGCATTGTCCCTTAAGCATCTTAGTTTATCATTTTGTTTTGTTTTGTTTGTTTGTTTCTCAAGTCAAAAGAGCTTTTATTCATTTTTAAAATATCACAAATGAGTCTGGCCTCTTGCAGTTTCTGTAGCTGGATCACTGAGATCTTATTCTTCAGCCTGCTGAACTGTTTCTTTTTCAGAAACATAAATACCATCCCAAAATTTTCTGATATCCTTGTTTTTAACTGTTACGGCTTGCTGAATCAAAGCAGCCAAGTCTGACACAAGTTCAGTGTTGTTTCCTTCAAGAATCAACGCATCTTTCTGGGCTTGAGATACTGAACAAGCAACGCCTGGCCTCATCCGAACCCTGCGGATATATTTTTCACCCAAAAAATTCCGGATTTCAACAAGAGAAACATTCTCCTGAATAATAACGTTGATGGGGAAGTAAGCGTACACAGACCTCATCTTGCAACGGAAGCCCAGTGTAACACCCTTGATCATGCTCTGTACATGGCTACAGATAGTGCAAACAGTCACCAGTTCCTTTCTAATCCCCCACCATTTGTCAACTGGAGCCTCTTTTTCTTTCCAAGGAGACTAAGTTCTACATTGATGTGATTGAAGTCCCTCTGCAGGGTACCTCTGGGGCCCTTCACAATAACTGTGCATCCCTTCAGAGTAATGTTGACATTTTCTGGAATGTCGACAGTCTGATTGCTGAGAATGGCCTTCATTCTCACAGTAGATACAGCAAAAAGCTATTTTATCATTTTGATCATCACTTTCCAGATCTGTAAAACAACACTATCTACTTTATAAACACTCTTATGGGGTAAAAATAAATAATGCATGTAAAGGGCCTGACATGTGGTAAACATTTCACAAATGGCTGTTGTTGTCCCTACTATTTCTTAGTATGCCCACTGGGGCTAAGGAGCTGGGGCTGCAGTGCAAATGTCAAAGCCAGGCCATCGTCACAGTCGCCTGAGTCACCCACTTGCAGTGGGGACCCAGAAACAACTGAGGGAGGGGAGATTCTGGGAGCCACTGGGGAGACAGAAAAAGTCATTGAGATAGGCGAGTGTGAATGCAGACTGAGATTCATTGAGTACTTTAGGCACAAGACCTAAATACAGTTATTTTGCACAGGAACCAAAAGACTTTTTTTTGGCCATGCCACACGGCTTATGGGATCTTAGCTCCCTGACGAGGGATTGAACCCTGGGGCCCTTGGCAGTGAAAGTACTGAGTCCTAACCACTGGACTGCCAGGGAGTTCCCCCAAAAGACTATTCTGAGACTACCTTCTGGCCGGGGGACTTTGGTCCTTGGTCCTTACCTGGCTTGGGAAAGAGTGAGGTCACAGTCTTTCAGGTATGTCTCACCAAGGAGAAGGAAGGAGACATCGCCCCAGGAAACTTGGAGGGTTGGAGTCCAAACACAGATGGGGGGTGGACCTTGCATTGGTTGATTCCTGGTAGAGGGTGTGGCCCTGGGAAGGAGGGTGCTTCACACGCTTGCTGTTTGTTCCTGGGAGTCACCAAAGGCACGTGTGCTCCATTTCCATGACGCAAAGTCTCTTGCCAGGTTGTGGGCAGATTTCTGGGAATTGAGACTCCAAACATAGACAGGTGTGAGTGTCTCTTGTGAAAATTCTTCTTCTCTTAAATATGTCACTTAGAACTACTCTCCCAATGGCTCCTGAGACTGGGGCCCTCTCTTCAACCCACTCCTCTGCATTTTCACTCGAGCAAGTTTATCTTCTGTGTTGCACACTCAGGCCACACAAGAGGGTAAATAATCTTTCTAAACAAACAAATATACAGCCTCTCAGGGGGAAATAATATCCATTTTGTGACTATACCACCATTTATTTATTTACTCACCTTATTGTTCTGGGGCATTTGAGTAGTTTCAAGTTTTTGAGTTTTTGGCTATTACAAATAGTGCTGATGTAAGCAGTCTTATAAATGTTGTTTTGGGGGAGCACATGCCTGCATTTCTGTTATGCACGTATCTAAGAGTAGAGGTGCTGGGTCAGCTTTACTAGATGTTACTACTCAGTTTTCCAAAGTAGCTGTACCATGGTCCACTCCCACCACCAGCAGTACATGAGAGATCAGGTCGCCCCACATCCTCTCTGACATTTGGTATCACCAGTCTGAGAATTTACAGCTACAGCTGCACACAGGAGCATGGCTGCCTCTCACAAACATGAAATAGGGTGAAAAAGGCCAGACATAAAAGTAAACATGCCATCTAATTCCCACTTACATAAAGCCCCCAAACAAGCAAAAATAATCTAAGGTGTTAGAAGTCAGGATAGTGGGACCTATGAGAAGCAGGAGGGGGGCTTCTAGGGTACTGGTGACGTTCTGCTTCTTAATCTGGGTGCTGGTTACACTTTACTCCCTTTGTGAAAATTCATCAAGCCATATAGTCAGGATTCATTCACTTTTCTGTTTGTTATACTTAAATAAAAACTTCAAAAAAATATTCTCTCAGTCTCCTTCTCTCCCTTCCTCTGTCATCTTTCCTCATGGCACGTGGTTGGGAACTGTCCCCATCAGAGTCCACTTCATGGCCCTGTGACCTGTACAGTTGCACAGGTTCTACACTCAGAAGAACCTTTGATTGGTTTCATGCTCTGCCATCTTTGTCTTGAAATTGTTAATACTTTTTGAACAAGGGGCCTTTTGCTTGCTTGCTGAGCCTCACACATCACATAGCCACCCTGGCCATGGGCAGCTGCCAGTGTCTCTGCACAGATCCCCACGTAAGGCTTGGTCTCTGCTGGGCACTGAGGACAGGGCCAGGTTGCCGCTCTGCCTGATCAGGGAAGGTGCCAAATGTCCATTTTGGCCCCAGGATGGTTCTCCCTCCTGCGAGAACCTGGGATTGTATTTACCTGTGGATGGAATTACCGGGTCATAAGGTAGGTTCATGCATAATGCCCCTCATGGCTCTCTGTCCCTGTGCTTCCATCTGCCTTAAAAAAAAATTGTAAAATATACATAACATAAAATTGACCATCTTGGGCTTCCCTGCTGGTGCAGTGGTTGAGAGTCCGCCTGCCGATGCAGGGGACACGGGTTCGTGCCCCAGTCTGGGAAGATCCCACATGCCGCGGAGCGGCTGGGCCCGTGAGCCATGGCTGCTGAGCCTGCGTGTCCAGAGCCTGTGCTCCGCAACAGGAGAGGCCACAACAGTGAGAGGCCCATGTACCGCAAAAAAAAAAAAAAAAAATTGACCATCTTAACCATTTTCAAGTCTGTAGCCCAGTGGCATTTAAGTACATTCACATTGTTGTACAACCATCTCCACCATCTGCCTCTTGAACTTTTTCATCTCCTCAAACAGATAATTTGTACCCATGAAACAATAACTCCCATTCCCTTCCACCTGCTTTTACGATTTATTTCCTGTCTGTCTCTCTTCCCAGTTACACTGTGAACTCCGTGAGGGCCCAATGGGGCTTACTCCCCTTCAAATAAGGAGGAGCATATATGATGTACACAGGGCCTGGAGGACATGGGGAAGAAAATAGTTTTGTTAAATAAATTAAAAATATGGGATATAATTTAACCCTTGTTTGAAATCTGGGCTGATTCTTGGGCTAATAAATTCTCTAAATTCAGTGTTGAGCCAGTACCCAGCACAAAGCTGGATCCAAAACCTCTTTGCTGACAGAATGAATAAGGCATTAACTCTGCTACCAATAATAAAATATTGACTCTTTATTAAGCACTTACCAGGGGCTCAATATTCAGAAAGGACTTAGTATTTGACACTATATTTTCTTCTTTGACTTAGTATTTGACACTCAATATATTTTCTTCTTTTCTTTACGAGCATTATCACATTTGACCCTACGGTCACCCTCTAAGGTGGCCACTCAGTTTTCGAGGGAGAAACTAATTCAGAGACATTGTGTCCCCTGCCAGAGGTCACGCAGCTGACAGATGGTTCCAGTCTGGGCGACTCCAAAGCTCAGTGCTTTCAGTATTTACTTTACAATGCCTCCCTGGCTTAATTAACCAAAACAGAATTTATGACAGCTTTTTACTTTTGTTTGAATAAAACTAGTTTTTCTTTTCTGATTACAAACATGGATAAATTCGCTTTTAAAAAAAATTCAGGCACTACAGAAAGTGAAAATGTGAACTTTTAAGACTTCTTAGAATGTTCTGTCAAGACTCATGGTAACCCTACCAGGGGTAGCAGAATTTGGAAAACATGCTCCTCATCAACTCCTCCTTCTGAGTTTGTTTTTTCTTTTTCTTTTTTTTTTTTTTTGCGGTACGCGGGCCTCTCACTGTTGTGGCCTCTCCAGTTGTGGAGCACAGGCTTCGGATGCGCAGGCTCAGCGGCCATGGCTCACGGGCCCAGCCGCTCCATGGCATGTGGGATCTTCCTGGACCGGGGCACGAACCCGTGTCCCCTGCATCAGCTGGCGGACTCTCAACCACTGCGCCACCAGGGAAGCCCCCTCCTCCTGAGTTTTATCTCCAGGTCAAGGAATATATATTACATACAATGACCTTTCTTTCTAGATCATTCCCTCTTCAGAGTTCCTTGGAGAGAACCGAGGAAGGTTTGCAGGTGCTAAAACTACCTCCTCCTCCTCCTTTCCCCTGACTCGTGTTTCCCATAAGAGTTTTTCTTTTCTATTCCATGGACTGGCCTTCCTCCAGCCAGGCCTAAGTTTGTTTTCTGAGCGTTGGTTTCTCTTTGGGGGTAATAAGGAAGTTGTCAAGCAAAACTGTTTTTTCCAGGGTAGCTGAGATAAGCCTCTTATCTGTGGAGGAGCGGAGAGCAGCCCTGGGATAGGATGACGGGGCTGTAGTGGGTGGCCCCTGGATTGGCTGCCCATGAGCTCACCTCCTGGGACATATGATAAAGCATCTTCTGAATCTGGAAACAGGCAGCATATTCTCCCTTGGAGAGCTGGGACTACTACCCCTCACTGGATACAACTTACAGCAGACAGGGAGTGGTGCCTACACGTTGCTGGGAGTACCCAATGCACAGCCCCCCAGTTGGAAGTTACGGACCAAAATTGCCCTGGGACAGGAGTGACTTTCATGATCTGAGGTTGGTTGAACGATAGTCTCCCCTTTGAAGGCTGGAGTAGTGGGTAGGTATCTTGGGGTCCTGAAAGGAGGGTAGACCCTGAATCTAGTCCCAGTGCTGCTTTTAGCTTGCTAGGCTTCAGTCTCTTCATCTCTAGAAAGATAGAAAATTCAATGATATGATCTCAACCAGGTGTCATGCAAAGAGCTCTGAACTACCTTGGACACAGAAGCGCTGAACTCAAGTCCTAGTTTAGCAATCCTGAGCAGGGAACTTCACTTATCTGGGCCTCAGTTTCCTCATCTGTAGAACAGGGACAGCATTACATACCTCTCCTGCTCATTTCCCTAATGGAGGTTGTAGAGGTCAAGTTATAGGCTTTATGTGAAGGTACATAGTAAAGGGAAACTTCACATAAATGGGGGCGCTGTTATTACCTATGGCTGGATTAAGATTTTATCATTTTAAGTTTCTTGGAAGCTAGCCCAAGGACAGGGAGATCTTATGAAAAGAGTTCTGGTGGCCTGCTGCTCTGACAGGGATTTGAGAGGGGATTATAACATTGCATGGTCTGTGGTCTTGCATAGAGGACAAGACGGGGTGATAGCACAGATGTGCTGGATGGAGGGGAGCCGCGGTTGTTTTTGGAGCTCTCCAGCTTTGTGTGTGATGACCCCACTGTCCCTGCAAGTCTGCCCCACTGCTGTATCATGGGGCCTGAAGTTCCACCATTAGGGAGTTCAATCTTTTGGGTTTCGAAAGATCCTCAAAAGATGCAAATCCCCAACATTTTGGAAAACAGGTACCAGGTGACGTGTGTTTGACGGTGACAATCGGATTGGGCAGATGGTACAAGTCCAGCTCTTTACCTTGAGCTGTGGGTCGGCTCAGGCAGAGCTGACCCGCACAGGGGCACCACGTGGCTGCTCAGATATCTCTGTGATCTGAAGCTTTGTACAAAATCCCACTGGGCCCTGCTGTGGTCAGCCCGTGGCTGGAGCCCTCCGTCCCAGCCTGGCCTCACATTTTGAGGTGGACAAGGACCAGCTGGGGAGTTCCCAGAAACGGGTGCCCAGGCAGGGGATGGGTGCAGAAGCAATGTGATTTGAGGGCATCGGGTGATGGGCTGAAACAGAGAGGACTCGGGGTGAGGTGCCCTCTCCTCAGGCCGTGAGGGCCTGCTGCCAGCCGAGTCAGCTCAGTCTAAGGAGGACTGTCCTTAATTCCTGCCGGCTGACAGCGGAATGATTTGCCTTGAAGGGTGGTGAGTTCCCATTGCAGGAAGGGTTCCAACAGGGCATGCGAGTCTGCAAAGCAGTCCTACCCTACAGGAGGTGGGCTGGATACTTCTTAGGTCCCTTCCAACTCTAGGAACCTGCTAAGGACCCCACAAAGGAGAAGGAACACCTGAATTGTTCCCATCTAACACCTGGGAGCTGGGCATGGGAGCAGGATGGGTCTGGTGTTGAGGGAAGAGTTGACCACCTTGTCCCCCACTCGAGTCCTACCAGTGGAGGTTGGAGGTGTCTTCCCAGGAGCGTGTGGCCTGTGGATGGGAGGCACACCATCTCAGGAGCCCAGATGGAAGGCTTTGAGCGTGAACAGGCACTCACCCTTGGGGTTCAAAGTGTCCATGGGCTCACCTGTGTCGATGAAAAGTAAACGTGAGCTCAGGGTCAGCCCTTGACCCTCCAGCCCATTGACTGGCTTCCAGCCAAGAGTCTGTGAGCCCCGCAAAGATTGTTTACAATCTTTGCCTCTGGGACACAGATTTCAATACCTGGGCACACGTGAATGTCTGACTCCACGGGTACAGGTCACGGCAGGCACATATGTGGACGTGGGTTATCTCTGTCAGTGTGAAATAGCAGATTTGCTCACTTCTAAGTGTGTGTGTGGTTGTGTGTGTGTGTGTGTGTGTGTGTGCTTATGGGAGGTCTCTCAGCATGGGAGAAAGAATTTAGAATCCAGAGAAGTGGATTCAAGCCCCAACTCTCTCCCCTTCTAGGCTGTAGGACCCTGGTCTAGTCTCTTAATCGGCAGAACCTTAATCCCCCCACTGCCAGCCTGGCCCGTTGCCAGGGCTGTGGCCAAGTTGTATTGAGATCATGAAGATGAAGGAGGTGCTGGGTGTCATGTGGCTGGTGAGCCCATATCTGTGTATTGTATATTTTTTCCACAAACACTGAGAGCCTCCTAGGCAGTGTGGACACAGCAGAAACCAGGCAGGCTTGGGCCCTTTCTGTGGAACGTGGATTTAGACAGGAAGGGCATTCAGCAAATAAATACTCAGATAATTATTTCCTTTACACTTGGAGTAAGGGGAATTCCAAGGTGTCATGAGTCCTTGTAAGTTTACCGTATACATGAGCATGTTGCTGGGTCACATGACCGTCTTAGCCCGTTTGGGCTGCGATCACAAACTATCATAGACTGGGTGGCGTATAAACAACAGAAATTTATTTCTCACAGTTCTGGAGGCTGGAAGTCCAAGACTCAGGCACCGACAGATTCGGTGTCTGGTGAGAGCTTCCTGGTTCAAAGACCAGGTCTCTCCGTGTCCTCATGCGGTGGAAGTGGCAAGAGAGCACTTTGGGGCCTCTTTTATAAGGGCACTAATTCCTTTCATGAGGGCTCTGCTCAAATGACTTGATTATCCCGAAGGCCCCACCACCTACTACCATCACACTGGGGATTAGGTTTCAACATATGAATTTGAGAGGGACACAAACATTCTCAGTCTACAGCAATGAGTGTCTGTGGGTGTGACTCTGGCTCCACATGCACTCTCCCTCGGAGTAACCAGCTGTTTATTGAGTATCTATTGTGTGAAGTCCAGCGGGGGCCGGGGGGGGGGGCGGGGAGAAGGGGAGTGGCTAAATTCCTCTAGGAAATGGTGCCAGAGCAGTTACAAAGTAACATGACAGGTGCATGAATTAGAGAACTGTGTACAGATGAGGTCAGGGTATAATTTAGAAAATAAACCCCAAATAGTAGCATGCTTGGGAAAAATTGGCAAACTCTCCGCTCCACAGTAACTTAAGGTCAGCTCTGTGAACTTTTCTGGTGTTTTGCTGTTGTTACTTTTAAACACGTCACCGGTATACGTCATGTCTTATCAGAAGTCCTGTGATCTGCAGATCACTTGGGTATTTCTGAGCAGACTCGGACTTTGCCCTGATATCCACTTTCTGCCAAGGCAATCAGCAAGTTTACAAGAGCAGCTGGGTTTCCATGCAGCTATGGTCTGCTGCTGTCTCAGGGTTACTGTCTGGAAGCATGGACCAGACAGGGTGGGATTTCCTGACAGGCAGGCAGAACTTGGGTGAAGTCCCAGGCAAAGCAGGGGCACAAAACAAGAAAACAGAGGAAGGAAAAGAAAGACTTGCTTTGATGAATTCTAGATAGGCAGAGTTTTACAATCAGAAAGTCTGGAAAGATTTAATTTCAGCACACATAGAATTTGTGTGCATGTGTATGTATGGCGTGTGTGTGTGGGGGTAATATTAAAACACCATCTTCTCAGGCTTAGAGACTTTAAAAGTCTGAGGACACGTCTGCCCTACAGAAGATCTTCCAGGGTGTCTCCCTGGGGGAGGGTAGGTTTGCCCTCCTAGGTCAGCCACACTCTCTCAATCCTGTGCTTAGTGTTGCAAGACAGAATCTTTGGAACATTACAGAGGAGGAGCGGCCAGGGGGGTAGGAGGAGAGTGGGTCTGAGCTCTGTCACAGCCTCCCAGAGAGGAAAGAGTGGCAGGAAGAAGTAAGAGGACGAGGTATCAAACCCTGCAGCACCTTGAGGGAGGATGAGGAATGGGAAGAGGTCACTGAATTAGGGTAGGAGGCCTTGGGAGATTCTGAAGTTTCTCTTCACTGGGGAAACACTCTTGGATGGCCAAGATCACACATCACCCACACCACCTCTCCTTGCCTCTGGGCTGGGGGTTGCTCCTCCTTCACCTTCCCCTGGGCTCAGGGCACTGTTGTTCCAGGGAAGGGGTGGTCAAAACAAGGCAGTTTTCTTGAAAAAACATCACAGAAGAAAACCATTGCCAGGTGGAATTGTACTGATGCTCTGATTAGAAGTAGCAACGTGTCCTTTGAATGCAGTAGGAGGATGCTGCAACCATCAGCAATGGTGAAAACCGTTTCCATAGCAATGACAGTTTTTTAAGGAATGACTGCACCTCTTTTCTCATTAGCTGGGGAAGGATGCTGTGCCCTCATTGTGGTGGGCCCCCTCGAGCCAAGTTAGCACAGGAAGAAAAGGGGCTGGTTTGGCGGTTCTCTTACTGAACAGCTTCTCTGCCAACCTCTTCCAATTTGCCCTGATCACAGGAACATACGGAGCAAGCAAAGAGAACCCTGACACCATTCAGTGAATATTTCTTTTTCTTTTCTCCCTTCCTTTCTTCCTTCCTTCCTTTCTTTCTTCCTTCCTTTCCTTTTTTCTTTCTTTCTTTTTTCTTTCTTTCTCTCTCTCTTTCTTTCTCTCTCTCTCTCTTTCTTTCTCTCTCTCTCTCTTCCTTTCTTTCCTTTCTCTCTTTCTTTCTTTCTTTTCTTTTTCTTTTTCTTTCTTCAGCTGTGGGGCTTGTGGGATCTTACTTCCCCCACCAGGGATCAAACCTGTGCCCTTGGCTGTGAAACGTGGAGCCCTAACCACTGGACCACCAGGGAATTCCCTTAGTGAATATTTCTGGATCAGCTTACTTGGATCTTAAAATCAAATAGATCTTTGACCTAAACGTCTCTTAAGACCACGTGCTACCAAAGAGAGAAAGTAGGAACTTCCCTGGCGGTCCAGTGGTTAAGACTTCACCCTTCCACTGCAGGGGGCGTGAATTCTGCATGCCTCACAGAGCACGGCCAAAAATAATAATAATAATAAAATAAAAAATAATAAAGAGAGAGAGTAGCTATCAGGGAAATAGAGCATTACTGTCATCACCACCTACTAACACCTCCACTCCCACCCATGTGAAGAATTGAACATTCTCTTTGAGGGCACAACCTGCATCTTGTTCCCTAGCACCGAGCAAACTTCCCGGTACATAGTGGGTGCCTATTAAAGGTTTGTTGAAAGAAATTAATGAGAAGAAAGCAAAATATTTTCTTCTATGATTTCTTTTCTTATCCCACGTAACGTCACGTTTTGGAAGCACAACTGTAAGGCAGCCTCTGAGGCTTTCAAGAACATGAGTCAATTTCCAGATAAATTAGAGGTGTGTGTTGCTAAAAGTTTTCATGTAACTCAAGTGTTCCTTTAAGGAACATTAAACAACAAATAAGGCCTTCCAAATTGCCTGCTTCTTTGTTTTCTCATTTCCTCCAAGACTGTCCATGTGTGGACACTCCACAGTGCCGGTGGTACCCACTGGCCTCTAGCCATCCTCCCTACCCTTCCTCCCAAGACCCATGTTAGAAGGAAGAAAGGCATCCTTGACTGTTGCTGTCACCTTCAAATCGCTCTGTTATGTCCCTGTGCCTTTTCTTCCCTCTATTTATGTATCTTCCTCACATTCACATGGATCCCTGCACATCTGAAATCATAATTATAGGTTCTTATTTTTGCCTCTAAGTGGGACATAGTAATAGAGTACATTTTAAAGTAATGAATCAGTTGGTAAACACAGAAGATACATGATACATAATACGTAAATACTTAATACACTAAATAACAGTAAATGCGTGATGAGGCTATAATTACAGATTCGAGTAGGCAATCCATAAATCTAAACTCCATAGGAATCTCTGGGAGCTCAGGACTGAGATTCAAAACATACTTTATTTTTCTTTTAACTTCCACCAAAGGGCAAAGGGTTTCTGAGCAACTCTGGGAAAATTGGAAAGCCCCAGGTGTTTCAGATTAAAGACACACTAATCAAGTGAGCTGCCCACACCCCAGCCTACTAAAAAGCTGCCCAGGAGGAGGTGGTTCTTTTGTCTTTTCCATGGGCAGCTGCTTCATTCTAGATGGAAAACGGAAGGGCCCGGGCTGCTTTAAGATGGAACTGGTGCAAATTCATTTATTGTATGTTAACTAAACATTCTTAGGTATTGTTCAGTTTACTAAATGTTTGTTATACATTTATTCCTTTGTTTAATAAGTACATCGGTCTAGGTACTCAGGATACAAGACCTAGCAAAACAGACAAAGGGGAGGGAGAGAGGTTCAGACAATAAACCACTAAACACGGAAAGATATGATATTGCCTAACATCGGGGGGTGCAGTAAAGGGGGAGACGGTGTGCTAATGGGAGTGCAATGGGAGGGCCCCTATGGGAAGGTGACATTTGAGCAGAGCCCTGAAGGAAGTGAGGGAACAAACTGTAAGGTGGTCTAGAAAGAGGGAACAGCCAGGGTGAAGACCCAAAGTGGAGCAGGCCTGAGGGACAGCAATCAGGGCTGCATGAGGGGAGTGGAGTGAGTAAGTGAGTAAGAGGGGATGGGAGAGGTGATGGGCCCGGGTCAGTGGGGCCTTGCTGGCCATTGTAAGGACTTAGACTTTGAGCCATTGGAGACAGGAGAGTGACAGGCTCTAACTTAATTTGTAAAAGCTCCCATGGGTGCTGAGGGGAGAAGTTACTGTAAGGAGGACAAGGGTAGAGCAGGGAGATCAGTTAGGAGGTGACTGCAGTAGTCCAGGTGAGCAGAGATGGGGCCTAGACCGGATGGTGGTGGAGGAGGAGGGGAGATGTGGTTCCAGGCCAGGTGTGCTTTTTTTTTAAAATTTATTTAATTAATTAATTTATTTTTGGCTGCGTTAGGTCTTCGTTGCTGTGCATGGCCTTTCTCTAGTTGTGGCGAGCCGGGGCTGCTCTTTGTTGCAGTGCGCGGGCTTCTAATTGCAGTGGCTTCTCCTGCTGTGGAGCGTGGGCTCTGGGTGCATGGGCTTCAGTAGTTGTGGCTCGTGGGCTCTAGAGCGCAGGCTCAGTAGTTGTGGCGCACAGGCTTAGTTGCTCCGCAGCATATGGGATCTTCCTGGACCAGGGCTCGGACCTGTGTCCCCCTGCATTGGCAGACAAATTCTTAACCACTGTGCCACCAGGGAAGCCCCAGGTGTGCTTTGAAAGTAGAGCCAACAGCCTCTGCTGATGGATCAGACGTGGGGAGCAAGAGAGAGAAAGGAGTTAGGGATGACTTCAAATGTTGGACCTGAGCAATTGGAAGAACAGAATTGCCATTTACTGAGCTGTCTTGTTAAATATTCTTAACAGCCTGTGAGATAGACAGGTAGGTCTCAGACACATTTCAGATGAAGACACTGGGCCAGAAAAGCTGCAGGAGCTGCCCGCAGTCCCAAGGGGCAGGACGTGGCCTCTGGCTCCAGCTGTATTCATTTCCTATTGTTGCTGTCACAAAATACCACAAACTCTGTGGCTTTGGAATAACATGAATCAATTATCTTATGGTTCTGGAGGTCAGAAGTCCAAATTCAGGGAATTCCCTGGCCATCCGGTAGTTAGGACTCCACACTTCCACTGCAGGAGGCCGGGGCTCCATCCCTGGTTAGAGTACTAAGATCCTGCAAGCTGTGCGGTGCAGCCAAAAAAAAAGAAAGTCCAAAATCAGTCTCAATGGACTAGAATCAAGGAGTTGGCAGGGCTGTGTTCCTCCTGGAGGCTCTGGGGGACTAGCCGTGAGACCTGGGGCATGACCCCCTGTGGATCAGCTTCCTCTGGGAAATGGGACAAGGGTAGCCCTTCCTCCCAGGGATGCTGAGGCATTTAAATGAGACAACAGCTTCGAGAGCTGATAGTACTCACATTAAGGGTAGGTTGGTTGGGCACATGGGTCAGCGCTGCTAGCCCACCCGGCAGACTCCGAGGCCTCTTCTAAGGGAGTTGTCTGTTTTGGTTGCAGTGCAATGGAGCCGCCGCGGGGCCCAAGGAAGCCTCTGTCAGGGAGGAGAGCCAGGTCTCTGGACAGGCTGCAGAACCCCCAGAAGGATTCAGAGTCGCGGGACTGCTGGTGCATTTCCCGGCCCACCAGCCCCTCCAGAAGGCTGTTGCGCCGGACGGCCAGCGATGGGGCCAAATGTCCCAAGAGCCCAGCTCAGTCTGCGGAGGCTCAGCGCACCACGGCTGCAGCCCTCAGCCCAGAGGAGACCAGGAAGTTTCTCCCCAGTGAGCAGAGGCCTCCGCAGGACACCAAGAAGGACAAGGCCCAGGGTCGGGCCCAGCAGGGGTGGCTGAAGACCATGATGAACTTCGTATTTGGGACGAGCCCTGAGGAGCCCAAGGAAAAGACCAACAAGAGGGCCAAGGGGAAGGAGGGCTTCCCCGAGCCTGCAGAAACCCCCGAGACACCGGGCGAGCCAGCTCCCAGGAAGAAAGCCCACAGCAAGAAGGCCAGCCGCAAGAAACACGGTCACAAGAAACATGGTGCTGAGGAAACCAAGGGCATCCGAGATCAGGAGGCCAAAGGGCAGGAGGCCAAGATGGCTGGTGCCTCATGCTGCGAGGAGGCTGATCTGGGCCCAGCAGCTGGGGGTGAGCAGACCATGCCCGTTTCTATGGTAACCCCACAGCCACCATCCCCCACCCCAAGGGCTAGGGTGCTCTGAGCTGGCTGCTCAAACCTCTTAACAGATGGGGACTTGGAAGGTAGGGCCACTATCAGGAACGACACCACTTCTTTTTTTTTTTTTATAAGATTTAAAAAATATGTATTTTATTTATTATCGTTTATTTTTGGCTGCATTGGGTCTTCGTTGCTGCGCGAGAGCTTTCTCTAGTTGCGGCGAGCAGGGGCTACTCTTCATTGAGGTGCGAGGGCTTCTCATTGTGGTGGCTTCTCTTGTTGTGGAGCACGGGCTCTAGGTGCATGGGCTTCAGTAGTTGTGGCACGTGGGCTCTAGAGCTCAGGCTCAGTAGTTGTGGCGCACGGGCTTAGTTGCTCCGCGGCATGTGGTATCTTCCTGGACCAGGGCACGAATCTGTGTCCCCCTGCATTGGCAGGCGGATTCTTAATCACCACGCCACCAGGGAAGTCCAGCACCACTTCTCTGAGGCAGAGCAGCACCGTGGCTGAGAACTTGAGGTCAAACCCCAGTTCCACCACTCACTGGCTGTGTGACCTGAGGCTGGCGACTTTCCTCTCTGAGCCTCCATTTTTTCTTCCCCTTGATACAATGGAGATTATAACAGTTGCTATCTCGGGGGGTGGCCATGGCCCAGAGCTGACACATGGGAAGTGCTTCATAAGTGGCAAATGTTATTGTTAAGTACTCTGGTTTGAGGAGCACGGACCAGGGAGAAATAGGAAGACAGAGGGGAATCAAGGAGGGAAGCCCTACCCACCAACACTAGTCTACATGTGAGGACTGGGGGTGGGTGACAGGGAAATAGAAACAGCTTGCTTCTGGGGTGCAGGTTCTAGACTTGGCTCCATCAGGAATAAACTTGCTGTGTGACCTTGAGCAAGTTGCTGTCCCTCTCTGGAACCTTTGATTCTCGTTTGTAAAATGAAGGAGCTGTTCCCCAAGGTGCCTTCCTTTTCTGACTCTTAGCGTCCTGGAGTTGAATGTTCCACAGGCTGCTGGAGGAAGATGAAGCTTTGCCCTATAGGACTCAAAACTCACCATGTTTTTAATGGGGGAGAAGGGACACAAGGAAGATCCAAGATATTTTGGGGGTGGGGGGAAGGATGTCTGGGTAGAGGCAGCCTCTTTTCAAATGGAAATCTCGGTGGGTTTCTGATTTTTTTTGGTTAAGCCTAGAGCTGCTCCAGCAGTCCCTGTCCTGCTGTGAATTCTATGCTGTTTTATTGCGTTGATTAACAAAAGTTGGAAGAATGTCACTGACACCCACACACTGCCCCACTCACTTGGTTTCATCTTTATTACAGGAGGGGAAGTTTCTGACCTCCCCCAGTTCTCCCTCCTTGAAGGTGGAGGTGCTGGAGTCCGGAAGGTTTCTTCCCAAGCCACAGGTCGCCAGGGAGAAGAGGAGCTCGGAAAGCCTGACAGTGAGTCAGAATCTTCTTAGTGACCTCTTTGCCTGCAGCTGGGGCAGCTGTTGGCAAACGAGGTGAAGTGCTCCCGATGCCTGCTTAGACCTCTCAAAATGTGTGTGCTGATCTCACCGGTTCTGGTGCTTCTGGTCACATTTACATTAGAGTTTCACAGAAGGGAGTCTCAGGAATTAGACTGGCTGCTGGCAAATACTCCTGCCTTGTGTGTTGAGCATGGGACTTTTTTTTTTTAGTCATTTTAAACTCATAGAAGGAATATATACATATATATACATACACATATATACACATATATATTTAAATATAGAGAAGAGTGGAAAGAGTAGTTCTATGCACACTCATATACTCACAATTGTTAACAGTTGGCCATATTTGCTTCGTGTGTGTATAATTTTGTTGCTGAACCATTTTAAGTAAAATGATCCTTCAACCTTAAATCTTAAGCACATATCTGCAAGAAATAAGAACAGTCTCATACACAACCATAGTCTTGTTATTGCCCCTAATAAAAGAAATAATGCTGTATTAATCTAATTCCCTACAAAGAATGGGCATATTTTATTTTATATTTTATTTATTTATTTTTTAAATGAATTAAGTTATTTACTTATTTTTGGCTGTGTTGGGTCTTCGTTGCTGTGCGTGAGCTTCCTCTAGTTGCGGCGAGCGGGGGCTACTCTTTGTTGAGGTTTGCCGGCTTCTCGTTGCGATGGCTTCTCTTGTTGCAGAGCATGGGCTCTAGGTGCATGGGCTTCAGTAGTTGCGGCACGCGGGCTCAGTACTTGTGGCTCGCAGGTTCTAGAACACAGACTCAGTAGTTGTGGCTCACGGGCTTAGTTGCTTCGCAGCATGTGGGATCTTCCCGGACCAGGGCTCAAACCTCTGTCCCCTGCATTGGTAGGCGGATTCTTAACCACTGCACCACCAGCAAAGTCCCAAGAATGGGCATATTTTAAACGATATGAAATGGAGAAGCTATGCATCTGTCAAAGAATAGCGAAAAGGCATTTAATTGGTTATTTTGCAGGATAATTGTTTTCTCACATGAGAGGGAGTTGTCAGGTAGACTGAGTCAAAGTACAAAAGCCTAACCGGATTTAGAAATGAGAGAGAAGAGAGGGGTGAAAAAACCTGCAGATAGCCTGGGAGGAGGGAATCTTGTTTGCACCTTCTTTTGTGTAATCTGATCAGCTGGCAACTAAGCAGAGGCTCCTTTGGGCACATTGTCTTTGGGTAGGTCGACTGGAATATCAAAGAAAACCATTTATGTTGTTTGGGCTTCTCTGTAAACCCTTGGCAGTGTAGTTGGGGCACCAACGGGGCAGGCTACCTGTGTCATGCCTGCTGGAGTGCCTCTGTCCAGCTTAGTTAGGCCTGGTCTCCATCATTTCCCCTGCTGGAATTTTGTAGGTTGGATCAACATTAGCCTTGCAAAATATTTCCAAGCACAGTCTCTCATTTGATGGCCTGACAGCCTTCTGAGGGAACCGGATGGGGATTATGATCCACACTTCACAGAGGAAGAGATGAAGGCCCAGAGAGATTAAGAGACTTACCCAGGTCACACAGCTTGTCAAACCCCAAGTAGATACGCACAGATCTGCAATGTTCAAAGGAAATCATGGGGCACAAGTTGAATGCTTAAAGGACTGACTCGAAACTTCCTGCATAAAATTTCATGCTTTGGTCTAGTACCCTTCGCCTGTGGATCTTCCAAGCCTCTCTCAGAAGGACCAGCCCCTGTAATGTGGTGCTTCTCCCACACCCCACCTTCCGTGCTAAAGGAGTTGTTTTAAGAGGACCCTGAAGGCCCAAGTTGGTCTCAGAACTCCAAGACAGTCATTAGAAAGGATTCTCTGTGCATCTAGAAAGATTAACTGGGTGCATTTGTTTTCTTCCAGAGGATACCATCATCCAGAAGATAGCGGGATTTCTCAAAAAAGTGGGAGACCAGTGGGAAGAAGAGGTGAGGGGCAAACTGTCTGCACAGATGCCCAGGGGCCTGCTGCCTTCCCCTCCTCCTCCTTGCTCGAGCCCCACCTGTCCTTCTGGGCCTCAGCACTCCCCTGCTCCAGGCTCTGTCACCTCCCTTGCCTGGGGCCGCCCTGAAGCCCTTGGTTGCCCCTCAGTTGCTTCTTGGGGAGCTTTCCCCTCTCCTCAAGGTCAGGGGCTTGACCCAGTTTCTCTCATCTCCCCCACAGCAGCATCAAGCCTCTCAGCCAGAGGTGGCTCCTCAAAACCCAGCACCAGGCTTCAGGAAGAAACCCCAAGAGAGAAAGTCTAGCCTCAAGAAAGCCTTTTCTCATAAGAAACATGGTTTTGAGGAGCCCAAGAGAGCACAGGCTGCAGATGTTTCCAGCCCAGAGTCCCGGCCGCCCAAGAGGCCCAGCTTTCTGCCCCTGTGTGTTGGTGGCCATCGACCCTCCAGCTCCAGCAGCCCAGGTGAGCAGGCTCACAGTTACCACGGCAACACTGCAGCTGCCTACTGCGCTGGAACCTTCCCCAAGGTTTGCATTGGCCATTTTCAGAGCTGCCATCCCAGTTCTGACTTTTGCTCTGCCCTAAGCAGTGTGGGGAGGGCAAAAGGGATACCTCCACGCACGAAGCCTCGCTGTCTAGGCAACCCAGCTAAGCCCCTGGTGGAAATTGTGTTCAGAGATTTCCCCCAACTATCCTCTTCTCTCCGTAGCCTCAGCTTCTGCACCTTGGCAGGGGGTAGCATGTGCAGGAAGGAACTGGAGCCTGGGAGGCAGGAGACCTGGGTTCTGGGCTCCATCTCTGTGCCTCAATCTCCTTGCCTGTAAAATGAGACACTTCCCTGCTGTGTATCTATATGCAGTCAGTTCTCATTTTATGAATTACATCTTATTATCCTCATTTCACAGACGAGGGAACTGAGGCTTAGGGAGGTAAAAGAATGTGTTTGTGGTCACATGGCCCATCAGTGATGGAGCCAGAGCTACAGGGAGAAAGGGTCAGCCTGGGTGTCAGGGAGGAACAGCCCAGCAGGTCATCTTGGCCAGAAGAATGTATACTTTAAAAAGGAGAAGGCAATGTTTAACACCAAAGAGTGGATCCCCAGTGGTGGGATTTCAGGCCGCAAGGGGAGATATTTTCATGTAGGGGGATCCTGGCTGTGATGAGTTTAATTCGCGCCAGGGCATCAGGCATTTACTCTCCAATTCATGGATCAAGTCAAGATGGTGGAGGGATGAGGTCTCCAGGGGAGGGAGGAGAGGGGAGCAAAGCCCAGGAAAGGCAGCTGTATGGAAGTGCAAAGGGATGAGGGAGCTTGGTCTTCAGTACATCAGAGCCACGGCCCTGCCCAGCAGCTCCCCGCCACCCCAGCAAGGCCTTTGCGTGCACTAGCCACAGAGTGCACTCTGGAGTCTCTGCTGACTTCTGTGCATTAGTTAACACCCTCAGACTGATGAAACTCACTCACCATTTCCTCTTCTCAGGTGTGGAAAAACCTGAAGTCCAAGAGACTCTGTCTACAGATGGTGGGGATCCAAGTCCCTTCGAGCTTTCCAACCCAGCAGGAAGCCGGGGACCCGAAGAGGACCTGCAGCTGGACAGAGCCTCGGAATTCAGTCAGTACCCCCTCTCCTTTTCTCAGAGGCCCCTTGGAAGATGTCTGGTCTGACCCCTCTACTTGCAGAAGAGAAACTGAACCAGAGAGAGGCAGTGACCTGTCCTTACCTGCCTCTGAGTGAAGCAGGCTGGGGAGGCAGCTCAGGGTCCAGAGCACAGGCCCCGAGCCAGGCTGCTGTTACTCTGTCTGAGTCTCAGCTGTAAAACCACAACAGTGATAACATCCTCCTTGGTGAGGCCAACATAAGGCGATACAAGGAAAGCATCAGCCCATGGCAAGGGCTCGATAGATGGTACGATCTTTGGGCCTGGATTCAAATTTGGGCTCTGACCTCTCCAGCTTTGTGATCTTGGACAAGCTACTTCATCTCTGGTCTCAGTTTCCTCATCTGTAAAATGGGGATAATAATAGTACCTACTCTCTAGAGTCGTTGGAGGCTCTATATGAATTAATGATGATAATGCATTTAGAGCAGTGCCCATGAGCAGCTAATAAGTTGTCAGCTGCCATTTGCTGTGACTATTAGTGTTGTTGTCATGTAGCCCAGCTTGAGAGCATAGCCTCAGGAGAAGTGAAGAGGGTAGGAAAGGGTGTAGGGGCCTTAGGAGAGAAGCTGAACCAGTGGTAGCTGCCATAACTATTATTATTATTTTATCATTGGCAGAGCCGAGCCTAAGATCATATAATCACTGTCAGTTCTGTGTGTCTGAAGATCTGCTTCCCCTACCTCCCCCATTCTGCCTTGTTTGCTTTTCACAGAAAATGTGCCTTGAAGGAGAATTGAGAAGGGCCCTTGTTCTACCTAGAAGAGGAGGAAAGAGCAGGGTGAGAGGACTTGTGGGGGCCAGGCCTTTCCTTATGGTCTTGAGACACCTTCTCCTGGAGGCAGGGGCCTCGGCTGTTTCCTGCACCTAACAAGGCACATCTAGGCCCTTCCTCAGTGGTAAATGAATAAGTGAATGTGTTCCCGTGAAGCCAGCTCTGCCCGCAGGTTACCTCTGAGGAATCTGTGGTCCCCATGGGTTGGGCCTGAGACAACCTTAAAGGCAAGCTCATTAGCACCCCACCCTGGAGACCTGTGAGAATCCTCCAGGGAGCCATTGGGCCTTAGGAAATGAAGACTGACCATAGAAAGGCTTTTCTCAACACTCAAGGGTGAGCAACCGCTTTGTTCTTTTTTAGAATTTATCCAGGAGATCATGGACCTACTCCAAGATGCAGAGGAGCAGGGGGGAGACAAGGTGAGGAAGACATTCCCCATGTAGACACTGACCCTCACTAGGGACACCCCTACCCCTACCTGGCACAATAACTTCCCTGCCCCTCCCCCAATTCTACATCTTGCCAGAGCCTGGCTCCAGTCTCTCCTTCCCAGAGCCTCCTCTGACCGCTGCAGGCTGTACTTGTTTCCCCAGCTCTGAGCACCAATCACCCTTCTCCCCCGGCCACACCCCCTGGTCCATAGTGGGTCTGTTTGTTTCAGGTGATGGTCTCTTTCTTCCACTCACTTGTAACCTCCTCAAAGTAAGGGACCCTGACTCAGTTTCTCTTATCTCCCCCACAGCAACTTCAAGTCCAGGAGGCACAAGTGGCTGTAGGAAACCTGGCCCCAACCTCCAGGAAGAAATCACAAGAGAAAAAGTCCAGTTTCAGAAAAGCCTTTTCTCATAAGAAACATGGCTTGAAGGAGCCCAAGAGAGGGGCTGCTGCAGGTGCTGCCAGTCCAGAGTCCCGACCGTCAAAGAGGCCCAGCTTTCTGCCCCTGTGTGTTGGTGGCCATCGACACTCTATCTCCAGCAACCCTGGTGAGCGGGCCTGGGGTTGCCATGGTAACAGAGGCTGCCTCTGGCCCCTAGGCTTCTCCAGGGTAGGGTCGGCCAGCTGCTTGGTGTCCTGTGCAGTCTTGACTTTCACTCTCTGCTCTGAGCTGAGTGGGGAGGTGTGGGAGGGCTGTGGAGAGGAGAAAGGGGTCGGTTGCTGCCAGGACCCACCCCTATGACACACACCTTCCCTCCCCCCCGACCATAAACACCTAAAAACAAATGTGGTATGAGAGCAGTGCATCTGTTCCTCAGATACATGCGTCAGAATCACCTGGAAAGCTCATAGAAAAACAGAAACCCAGGTTAGATGAAGTAGGATATGGCCTGGGCTTCCGTTTTTTCACTACACCGAACTATGAGGACCACTGGTGTACAACAAATTCTCCTGACGTTTATGGAGTGCCCGCTGCCTGCCACGTTCACACATATTATCTCATTTAACACCCCCACTCACAACCCTGTGAGGTCAGTCCTGTTACTCCCATTTGACAGATGGAGAAAGTGAGGTTCAGACAGGCTAAGTGACTTGGCAAAGGCTCGCAGAGTTAAAGGGGAAGTGGGCTCACTGGGTGGGACCTGTTGGTAGGCCTGCTTGTTTTCCTCCCAGACCATGAGGAGGCAAAGGGGGTGGTTGGAAGAAAGAATGAGATTTCTGGAGGCGCAAAAAGCACTGTGAACTCCTCTGAGGCAGGTCCAGTGGGGCTGGGGGTTCCCAAGGAGGCTGGGAAACCAGGACCCTTCTCGAGCCAGAGCCTTTGGACAGCTTCTTGTCAGAACCTGGGTTCAGCAATGTGCTGGTGGATTTGAGACAGGTGCAAACACACTCACACCAACTCCTCTTTGCCCTCAGATCCGGAGGATGTGGAGTTCCAGGAGTCCTCGCCTGCAGAAGGGGGGCCAGTTGGATCCTCAGAAGCACCCTCCCAGGCCAGAAGCCACAAGCCAGAAGCAGGACCTCAGCCACATGGAGCAAATGAATCTAGTTCGTGCCACCCTGCTCTCTCCTGGGACAGCTTCCCTGGGGCTTCCCTTTTGCATGGATTTCACAGCCTGAATCCTAGTAGCGAACTGGGAAGACAGCTTACAAGTACCCCAGGAGGCTCTAGAAGGGCAGAGAGGAGACAGGGTTGGCCTTTGAACAGGCGCTGGTGGGGCAGAGTTGCAGGTGGACAACCTTCTTCAGGTAGAGAATACCTGTCCATTCTGTGGGATGTAATTTCACCCCCACCACATGCCACTGCTTTGCCTGAATGTTTCATATAGAATTCCTGTCTTGCTCTGGGTCTCATAACCAGTGGCGCACTGGCAAACGAACTCTGGGTAAGGGCAGGGGGATTGGGGGAAGCCCTGATTTGTAGCATTCGCAGATTTCTGTGGTATAAAATTCCCACCACGGCCAGTTTCAAGCTGCTGACAGTTTATAACAACAGGTCCACAAATGTCCTGAGTATTTACAATTAACTCTCGGTGCAAGCAGGAGTTTGCTTGCTTTTTATAGCCCAGGCTGATGGTACATTCCCGTTGCATCAGCAGCCATGGCATTTGCCCTCCCTACATTCTGAGGAGTTGTTCCTGGCCCCAGCTCCCATTCCTGACTACTCTGTAGCCTGGATAAGGTCTCAGTTTCCCCATCTGTCAGAATGGAGCTGAATGTGGTGACAGGTGAGGCTCCGCAGGCCGAATTGCCTTCTATTTCTATACAGCTAACCAAAACAAAGCTCACATGCTCCAGCCCTAGTTTAGGGGAAGATTTTTCTTTGCCCTTCATATCTAATCTGTGTACTGTGTTTTAGAGACAAAATACTTCTGCAATCGATGGATGGGTTATTACACAACAACATGTCAATAATCCCTCAATCCTTCTTTATTTTCCTTAGAGGAGCTGATCATCCAGAAGCTGGTGGCCCTTCTCCAAGAAGTGGATGGCCAGTTGGGGGAGCAGGTGAGGATTGCTCAGTCTCCACAAGGACTGGACCCAAGTTCAGTCCCCATCTTTGCATCTGGGTGACCGTGGTAGGCCCCTTAACCTCTATGAGCCTCTGTTTTCTCTTTTGCAAAATGGGGAATAAATACCTACTTGCCAAGGTTAGTGCATCTATAGAAAATGCCAGACACATAGCAGATGAGATCAATGTTAACTTAAAAATAATATAAACCTATGTGGCTCCCCCTGCCAGCCGGGACCTCCCCCAGTCCAAATCCTCCTTGAAGTTCAGTTCATGAGCCACCTCCCGGGAAACCTCCTTCCCTGAGTCCCGCTGATCTCGTCCTCTGCTATCTGCCGTTCACTCTGTTTTGGCATGCACTTCAGTAATTATAAGGTCTCCAATTCTTTCAAACTTTTATTAGAGTTTCTTCCCTTGCTAGGTAGAGTGTAACATAAGGTTCCCTGCCTTTGAAAACCTCACAGACCTCTTGGAGAGACAAACGCAGATCACATATGAAGAGGAGTTACGTGTGAGCACAAGTCAGAGATGAGTCATCAGTGTAGCTGACCTTGTTAGAGCCTCTCCTTACCACCACAGAGCACCTGGCCCAGCTCCCAACTGCCAGTACCTGCATCCCTTTGCCTGAGGACTGGCCCCCAGAGCCATTTACCACCCACAGGTTAGGCCAGAATGAGCACTCTCCACCTCCCCAGGAGCAGCCCTCAACCACTGGCTGATGCGAGCTGGTGTACACATACCCCAGCTCCCTTATCCTTTGGAGGGATAACTCTGTGGTGTGTGTTCTTCGAGGGTTCCCAGAGTGCCCCGAGGGGCTCAGGCTCAGCTGCCAGCCTGAGTGGGATGCCTTCCCATTCTTGCCCCAGGTCTCCATTCCCCCATCTGTGTTTGCCAGGATCACTTACCACATAAGTGAGCCGCGTCCGAGTCCCGGTCTCAGGATCTGCCTCTGGGGGGAACTCAACTTAAGACATTTAGGTATTAAGAGGAGGAGGCTTAGGGTGGGAACTAAAATTCATCCAACATCCACTTTGCATAAAACATTAAACTATCTCACTTCATCTCCTCCCCCCAACGACAGTGTTGGGGAGGCACATATTATTACCCCCATTTTACACATGAGCGGTCACACAGCTAGTAAAGGCTATTTAAGCATCTGTTATCTGAATCTAAAGACCTACATTTTTTTTTTCCCCCACTTTGTTCTGCTGGTACAGTTGTACCTTGCAGAACAGATTCTGAGAGGCTGGGGATGGTAGATGAATTTAACAAGGGGTGCTTGTCCCAGGGACAATGAGGCACCCAGCCTGGCTGCATCCAGTTGGGGGAGGGAGAGGCTGTGGGGAGGGGGCTCCCTGCTGGCAACACTGACGACCTGCCTTCATTTCTGCTTCCAGTTCAGGCAACACCCCAGCTTTAAGAAGTTTTTCTACAAGCTCCCAGACTCTTCCCTCAGAAAGCTCGTAGCCACCCTGCGCCCCCAGGAGGCCCACTCCACGGAGCCCAAGAGACCCTACCCGTTTGTCTTTGGCTTGGCTAACAAACGTGCTGGCAGCAATCACCAAGCCGTCCTCAGCCTCACGGGCCTACACTACAGGCGACCGAGTTTTAGCCAGTTCCCATACAGGGAGGACCAGCAGGTGAGAAAGGGCAATATGGCATGAGGGGCCACAGACTCACAATCACAAGGATCTGCCTACAGCCCTCTCCCCTCCCCTGCTTACTTCAGGACTTCTGGGATCCAGCTCAAATGCCACCACCTTGTCAAGGCCTTCTGAGACAATTCTACGCCACAGCAGCCTCTTTCTTTTCCAAACCCCGCCCCCTTTGCCTGCTCATTAGCTAATCAGCATCTTCTTTATTTGGTCTCCCACTGGATGTGTATTTTCACACTTCTTGACATCAGTGTGGGATATTGGACCAGCTACTATCTTAGCTGCCCTCTTATGATTCCATGGGTTGTGCTGCTTGGCTTTCCAGTTGAGACTGTCGTAAAATTTAGAGAACAACGTAAAGTAAGATTACATATCAAATAAGGTAGGTGAGAAGGATCCCTGGGGCTGTTTGGTTCTGGAAGGCTTCCTGGAGGCCATTCTTCACTGACCTTGCCTTGATTGATTAATTAAGAATAGCCTCTTTTTTGAATTATGGTTTTCTCAGGGTATACGCCCAGTAGGGCAGGACAGGTGTAAAGACGCAGATGTAGAGAATGGACTTGAGGACATGGGGAGGGGGGAGGGTAAGCTGGGACAAGTGAGAGAGTGGCATGGACATACATACACTACCAAACGTAAAATAGATAGCTAGTGGGAAGCAGCATAGCACAGGGAGATGAGCTCGGTGCTTTGTGACCACCTGGAGGGGTGGGATAGGGAGAGTGGGAGGGAGGCACAAGAGGGAGGGGATATGGGGATATATGTATACATATAACTGATTCACTTTGTGATACAGCAGAAACTAACACAACATTGCAAAGCAATTATACTCCAATAAAGATGTTAAAAAAAAAAAAGAATAGCCTCTCCACTGCCATCACTCAGCCTTTTTTTTTTGGCATAAGGGGATCTTAGCTCCTCGACCAGGGATCGAACCTATGCCCCCTGCAGTGGAAGCTTGGAGTCCTAACCACTGGACCGCCAGGGGATTCCCCATCACTCACTCTTTTGACTGGTTTCATGCTTTTCCTAATAATCCCCCCTTCCCTGAGGCTGTAGGATGGTTCCTGTAGAGATAAAACTTAACGCATTTTTTTTAATCTGAATTTTCTGTTGGACTCTAATAGAGATCTCCCTACTCTTTTCAAATTCTCTTAAGATGACCTGCTTACAAACATTTGACCAGATCTATAGTGCAGAAACCACTGAATGAAGTTGTGATTTTAAAGGAATGAAATGTCCTATTGGTGTTGGACACATAGGACCAGAACTTCTATATCCAAATTGTCCCCTGGGAAACCAGACCTTTACTGCAATGATGTCACCATCATTCGAACCCTTTGTCTTCTCCTCCTGGAATTACCTTTAGAAGCCATGTGATAAGGCTCTCAAGAAAGCTGGTCTTATTTCATGATACTTGTACCTCATCATTCGAATGGTTTTCCTAGTGGAAACTCCTCGTGACCTTAGACCTCTCTTTTCTCAGACTCACTGTCTTCTCCTGGAGAATAGGGATCATTTGCCCTCTAAACTGGGTTAGGTAATAGCTGATGGAGTGATCTGAGTTCTTTGTGAAAGATATTATAGAAACATCAATTCTGACATCCTCAGTAGCCCTAACTCCATCTTCTGGTTTTACTAGCCATTCATTCATTTATTTATTCAACCAGTAGACATTCAGAGCTTCCTATGAGCCTAACTGTGCAAGATGCTATGAGAGCCTGTGGAAGGTTCTGCTAGTGGAAAAGGATAGAATGTTTACTGATGACAAAATTAAATATCAATTAAATGCCAAATTAGCACTAACTGAGGTCAATAAAGTAAGTTGGTTCCAGGAGCCTTCCAGGAAGTAGCAGGCATTGATTTTGACCGTTGAGGATGGAGAAGCTATAGATGGGGAGAAAGGACCAGTAGGACACTGCAGGCAGGAGATACTGTGTGAGCAAAGACCCAGAGGTGGGAGCTAGTGGGTTAATGAGAAGTCTGTTGTTATCAGCGTGGGACCCATACATAATTGGGCTATGGCTAAGACCTGTGTTCTTTTTCTCCTCCCAGAATGACACAAATCCTCAGAGCCAGAGTCCAGATTGAAAGCTATGCTTTGCACTCAAGTTCCCTGAATTATCCAAACATCGGCGGCTTTAGCCAGAAGACCCTGAAGATGTCCCAATCCAGTGCTTCACAGACATGACTGAAGACAAGAGTGGGCAGCCATTCTGCATCCTTGCACCGTTGTGAGCTTATCTCAGTGGAGAATGCAGAAATGTTCCTCCACAAAGCTGGAGGCAGAGGCCATGGGGGGAAATAGCACTGGACTGGGAGTTAGGAGACCAGGACTCCCCCTGCTCACCTGCCCCAAACTTGCTGCAAGACCCTGTCCACCACCTTATCTTTGATAAAGGTGGCAGGAATGTACAGTGGAGAAAGGACAGCCTCTTCAATAAGTGGTGCTGGGAAAACTGGACAGGTACATGTAAAAGTATGAGATTAGATCACTCCCTAACACCATACACAAAAATAAGCTCAAAATGGATTAAAGACCTAAATGTAAGGCCAGAAACTATCAAACTCGTAGAGGAAAACATAGGCAGAACACTCTATGACATAAATCACAGCAAGATCCTCTCTGACCCACCTCCTAGAGTAATGGAAATAAAAACAAAAATAAACAAATGGGACCTAATGAAACTTCAAAGCTTTTGCACAGCAAAGGAAACCATAAACAAGACCAAAAGACAGCCCTCAGAATGGGAGAAAATATTTGCAAATGAAGCAACCGACAAAGGATTAATCTCCAAAATTTACAAGCAGCTCATGCAGCTCAATAACAAAAAACCAAACAACCCAATCCAAAAATGGGCAGAAGACCTAAATAGACATTTCTCCAAAGAAGATATACAGACTGCCAACAAACACATGAAAGAATGCTCAACATCATTAATCATTAGGGAAATGCAAATCAAAACTACAATGAGATATCATCTCACACCAGTCAGAATGGCCATCATCAAAAAATCTAGAAACAATAAATGCTGGAGAGGGTGTGGAGAAAAGGGAACACTCTTGCACTGTTGGTGGGAATGTGAATTGGTACAGCCATTATGGAGAACAGTATGGAGGTTCCTTAAAAAACTACAAATAGGGCTTCCCTGGTGGCGCAGTGGTTGAGAGTCTGCCTGCCAATGCAGGGGATGCGGGTTCGTGCCCCAGTCCGGGAAGATCCCACATGCAGCGGAGAGGCTGGGCCGGTGAGCCGTGGCCGCTGGGCCTGTGCGTCCGGAGCCTGTGCTCTGCAGCGGGAGAGGCCACGGCAGTGAGAGGCCCGCGCACCACAAAAAAAACTACAAATAGAACTACCATATGACCCAGCAATCCCACTACTGGGCATATACCCTGAGAAAACCAAAATTCAAAAAGAGTCATGTACCAAAATGTTCATTGCAGCTCTATTTACAATAGCCCGGAGATGGAAACAACCTAAGTGCCCATCATTGGATGAAAGGATAAAGAAGATGTGGCACCTATATACAATGGAATATTACTCAGCCATAAAAAGAAACAAAATTGAGCTATTTGTAATGAGGTGGATAGACCTAGAGTCTGTCATACAGAGTGAAGTAAGTCAGAAGGAAAAAGACAAATACCGTATGCTAACACATATATATGGAATTTAAGAAAAAAAAAATGTCATGAAGAACCTAGGGGTAAGGCAGGAATAAAGACGCAGACCTACTGGAGAACGGACTTGAGGTTATGGGGAGGGGGAAGGGTGAGCTGTGACAGGGCGAGAGAGAGTCATGCACATATACACACTAACAAACGTAAGGTAGATAGCTAGTGGGAAGCAGCCGCATGGCACAGGGATATTGGCTCGGTGCTTTGTGACAGCCTGGGGGGGTGGGATAGGGAGGGTGGGAGGGAGGGAGACGCAAGAGGGAAGACATATGGGAACATATGTATAACTGATTCACTTTGTTATAAAGCAGAAACTAACACACCGTTGTAAAGCAATTATACCCCAATAAAGATGTTAAAAAAAAAAAAAAGACCATTCTTATTTATTGTCCCTACTCCTATTAACTGTGTCACACAAAACAAATGTGTTTTCCATGTGTGCTTGTGAGGCATGCACGTGTGAGAATTAGTGTTTGTGCTATTTTTAATTTCCCTGTAATTTCTCAGTTTTCTATATCCCAGGAATGCTGACAAAAAGGTACCTGTGTGGAATAAAAAGCAGAATTTCCCTAAAAAAATAAAAAAAAATAAAAAAAAAAAGACCCTGTCCACATCCCATGTTCCCTCTCCTCGCCAGACCTTGGATTCTGAGCTGGATTAGTGACCCATCAGATCTCTTCTGGCTCTATTATGCTGAAGTCTCTCTAAAGAGAGGTAGTAAGTGCTTTCACTCTGGCTAAATATACCCACCCCACAGAGCTGGAGTCAATCTTTAAGTACTGACCAAATGAGTGAATGGGGGGAGCTCCTGAGATCTAGGCAATTTTGCCAGGCATTCTCTGGGAGGCCTTGGTCCTCAACTGGAATTGTGCAACCAGTGGTTCTCTCTCTAAACTGGGAGCTAGGGAGGAAATGGGGGAGCTACCTCAGCAGGCACTGGTCCAGAGCACTGGACCGGGAATCAAGGCCTTTGCATTCTGGGGCCAACCCCATTGTGTAGTGCCAACTTATGTGCCCTTATTTTTTTTATCATGTGTTTTCTTGATCCACCAGGGCTGAAAATATGCCTACGTCATGTAGAAGGCCTGTTGATACTTTCTTCAGATGTCGGTTTTAAATGTCCTAGTTTTAAAAATAAATTTTTGTTTAATCTCTCACTTAACAGATGGGCATCTATGTTTAACACATAATTTATTCAGTTGGCTGCACTGTAGGTGTCATTCAGATATGCTTGTTTGGAAGACCAGGAAGTGTTCTGGCCTCAGGGACACCTCCTGATTTCAAAGCACAGTGACTGGCGCATCAAAAAACAACTCATTAGTGTTGTTGTTATTGTTGTTGTTGTTTTTAAGGCATAAAAAGGAGAAAGGAACTATTAGGGTTGCCAAATTTAGCAAAGAAAAATGTGGGTGGCCCAGTTAAATTTGAATTTCAGATACACAACAAATAATTGCAATGCTGGGGGCACACTTACACTAGGTCATTATTCGCTGTTTATCTAAAATTCAAATTTAACAGGGTATCCTGTGTTTTTTATGGCAACCCTGGAACTAATGCAAGAACAATTCACTAATTACCTCAGAGCATCTGGGCCCTAAATACAGGCTTTGAGTTAAAACAATAGTTAACATTATATTCAATCCTCCCTTGCACACCAGGGAATAAGTGTTCCTGAGTTGTACAAGGTTGAAATCCTCCCTCCCCTGGCTCACATGTCTCAGGGCCTCTGGGCACATAGTCACCTGCAAACAGCAAGACCTTCCTGGGGAAAAGGACTGCAGCCAGTAGGGCTGCTCCACGTAACTCCCTGGTGCTTCCCTTGACTGGTCTGGGCCGCAGAATTGGAGAAGGCAGAGGGTACAAGAACACCTGAGATCTGATTCTTCTCAGGCTTCTCAAAGGTACACTTAGGTTCCTCCAGGTAGAACCATCTGAAGGGGGCTTGTGTGGACTCTTGTTCCCTGACATGATCCTGTTAAATGTAGTTTCCACCCAGGCCTCTGTGCCATAGCCTCCCACCCACCATGGGTTAAATTTGCACGTGTCCTTCTCAAGGGCCACAGTTCAGGGCTGTCTTCCACCCAGTCCACCAGGGTTAGCATTCTAGGATTTGTTAAGCAAATGCGTCTGAGGCCTGTGGGCAGCCCAGGCTCCCTTACTGGGTTCGGCTGGAGCTAGAGGTTATCCACACTCTGGGAAGCAGTGAGTTATTATTATTATTATTATTTATTTATTTTGCTGTATGTGGGCCTCTCACTGTTGTGGCCTCTCCCATTGCGGAGCACAGGCTCCGGACGCACAGGCTCAGCGGCCATGGTTCATGGGCCCAGCCGCTCCACAGCATGTGGTATCCTCCCAGACCGGGGCACGAACCCATGTCCCCTGCATCGGCAGGCAGACTCTCAACCACTGCGCCACCAGGGAAGCCCTTTCTTTCTTTCTTTCTTTTTTTTTTTTTTCTTTTCTGGACAGGCTGGAAAAATTGAGGTTAAAGACGTCTTTCTTTTTTTTTTAATAAATTTATTTATTTATTTATTTTTTATTTTTTGCAGTATGTGGGCCTCCCACTGCCGCAGCCTCCCCCATTGCGAAGCACAGGCTCCAGATGCGCAGGCTCAGCTGCCATGGCTCACGGGCCCAGCCGCTCCACGGCATGTGGGATCTTCCCGGACCGGGGCACGAACCCATGTCCACTGCATCGGCAGGCGGACTCTCAACCACTGTGCCACCAGGGAAACCCATTTTTTTTTTTTCCTTTCTGGACAGGCTGGAAAAATTGAGGTTAAAGACGTCTTTTTTTTTTTTTTTAATAAATTTATTTATTTATTTATATTTGGCTGCGTTGGGTCTTCGTTGCTGCATGCGGGCTTTGTCTAGTTGCAGCGAGCAGGGGCTACTGTTCGTTGCGGCGTGTGGGCTTCTCGTTGCAATGGCTTCTCTTGTTGCGGAGCACAGGCTCTAGGTGCATGGGTTTCAGTAGTTGTAGCACACAGGCTCAGTAGTTGTGGCTCACGGGCTTAGTTGCTCCATGGCATGTGGGATCTTCCCAGACTAGGGCTTGAACCCAAGTCCCCTGCATTGGCAGGCAGATTCTTAATCACTGCGCCACCAGGGAAGTCCCAAAGATATCTTTCTTGTGGACCATTTTCACTTGGGTGTGAAGAGCCGACAGAGTCTGCCCTCATTTGGGCTGGGAAAGGGGAGGGAAGGGGACATAAAGCTTCCCGTTTCCTCTACAACCATGGGAGGACTTCATGAAGGCCAGGGCTGCCCACTCCACCAGCTGCACCACATAATCCCTCGGGAGCTTGTAAAGGCTGCATGCCAGATGAACCCCACCTGGGGACTTCCATGAGTGGCTGAGGTGGAGCCCACTGGTTCCAAGTCAAGCCTTTTGCACGCTTTGTGAACAAAAAACAAGCAACAGAAGAAGATGTGGTCTCTTGACACCACAGGAAACAGGAAAGTGTGTCCATGGCTCAGCTCTGCCTGACCGGCAACAGTTTTGCCCTGTGGATGAGATCTTGTGGGGCTAGGATCTTGAAGAAGTGTGAACTCAGGCTAGGTTGGGAGGAAGGCCCAGAGCCCAGCCAGCTGGGAGGAGGCTGTGCTGCTCGCTCTTCAGTGCCCGTCTGCGCTGACGTCCATCTCTCTGTCCAGAGCAGAGTAGTGGAAGGACTGCAGGGAAGCTGGGAGGATGTTTAGACAAAAAGGCTCTTGCCTGGGGGAAGCAGGACCCTCTACACCAACAGGCATGGTAGTGGGCGGCACGCAGGTCCCCGAAAGGCCTGGGGTGAGAGGAGGGCGTCTGAGAGCAGCGGGGAGAAGCCTTGGCCTTGCGGCCGTCAGGTTCTTTCCCGTTCCAGCTCAAGTTTTCTCTCTCGGCTCACAGTTTCCTAGATAAAGGACAAAAATTCATCATTTCTAAGACCCGAATCGAGGACTTCCCTCCCCTTATTTCCATGAGAACACTCCTCACAGATTTATATGCCTTGGGCATCCTGAGCAAGTAGCCAGGCTAATACGTGGAAATTGGAAAACTCAATTTATACCAAAAGCCAGTTCGAGGGTTCACTTTATTATACAAGGGTCTTTTGCAAAAGGAGGATTCCATTTGCAGAGCAGGAGTTGATAAAAGAGTGTTTGAAATATTATTTGACTTGCCAAAGTCTGGTTGGTATTTGGATTTGCAGGAAGAGGGAAGAAGTGGAGTGGCCTCCAGAGTGCGGAGGACAGTTGTTCAGACTGCACACTGCCCAAGGGTACACTGCCAATACAAAAGGGTAAGCACTTCACAGACATGCATACATGTCATTCATACAGCTTTCTAGCAGTTGGCAGTCAATTGTTCAAACGAAATCAGTGTATCATGACAACATTCAAGCAGCTGGCAGTCAAGTTCTGAAGGAAGGGGTGCTGTTTTCTCAGTGTACAAGGCATTATATGGGCTAGTGTTGGCCCTGACCGTGACTAGGAAGAAGCAGATGGGTGTAGAAAGGAAGCTGGGGCAACAGGGCTCAGAGGCCACCACGGTATCCTGGGACAGAACAGGCAGTGTCTGGTCTCCAGGGACACACTGGGGAGTTCTACACCTCAGGGCAGCTGTATTCCTTGATCCGGCTGGGATGAGGTCTGTAGGTGACCCAAACTGTCTCGGAAGTGGAGAGCAGAGAGAAGTCGAGTGGGCAGGGAGCAGACCTGGATGCGAGAAGTTGAGGTTAAGCACATGTGAGGGGAGATGAGACAAAAAGGAGCAATTGGAAGCCATGATTTCCAAGCCCTCCTCCACCTGCTGTGTGACCCTGGACAAGTCACTTGCGCCCTCTGGGACACTGCAGGAAGACACCTGAAGAGCTCATCTTGGAGAAATGTTGGGATGTGGACTTGCACATTCTTGGATAATTTTCAAATCTGACTGTGTCATTGTGTTGTTTAAATCCTATGATGACTCCCCAGTAACAAAGGTGAAGTTCAATCTCATTAGCATGGCACATAAGCCAGCCTGAACTACCCCCTGCCATGTTTCCAAGTGCACCTCCAGGCCTCTCCTGCCCAAATGGAGGAACTAGACTAGACTCTGTGACTTCTGATTCTCACTCCAGTGCTCCTTCTACCCCAGGAGGCTGTACCACTTGGTCAACATCAAGATTCTGGTGACAGACGATCTGGATTCAGATCCTGGCTCTGCCATCTACCAACTCTGTGACTTTGGGCATGTTACTTAACCTCTCTGTGCCACAGTGCTTGGAACATAATAACTACTCTATAAGTTTTAGCCATTATTAAATTCACCTTTGAATTAGTAACTTTTAATAAGTTACTAATTCCATAGTAACTCAAAGGAGGGGCTCTTTAATGGTGGAAATTTGGGGAGTCTGACAGACTTGGCAGCAATTAGAAGGATGTGGGTAGCAATCAGCAAGGTGGACCTCCTCCTTTTCCATTTGTAGCCTGTAGGCAGTCTCTCAACTTCTCAATCTGTCTCTCTACTTTGAGGTCAGTTACACAACCTGAGTCCAATGACCACTGAGAAGAGATAAGACTAGCAGAGGAAAGCTAGGCTGATATATATATCTAGCCATGCTCCAGGAGAAGGGCATATCTGGCGTTACTGCTGGTCCTGGAAATAAAAGGGACAGGGAGCAGACTTGACCCCAACCTGTAGCCTAAGCAGAGCTATCCCAGCCAACTCATAGCCCTATGAAAGAGGAAAAAAAAAAAAGTTTGTTTTGTGATCCACTGAGATCTTGGGGGAAGAGGGTCATTTGTTATACAGCATTATCATAGCAGCAATAACTGACTAATACAACCCACACCAGAGTATGGATTTGAACTTTTAGTTTAAAACACACACACACACGCATATTAATGTATGGGAGATTTACCCTAAGCTTTTATTCTAGACTCTTTCCTCTGCTGGGAGAGAGATCAGCTGGGGACCAGGAATTTACACAGGACTAGCCTGTGGATGTGACAATGTCTCTTGTGATTGTAGTTTTGGAACAGACCTTTCCTCTTCCTGGACCACTCCTACCTCTCTATGCCTAATATTTTTAAGCCTTTTTTCCCTGCCCACTAACCTTGTATTTGAATTCAAAGCAAGGAATTGCTTAAAATCAATTGGTAAATTGCCCCCAAGCAGTTTCATAACCTGTTCTATAAAGGAGCACCGCACACAGGATGTGTGACCCACTGACAACAGTGTTTTCCACAGCTTATGAATGTTGTTTTGTTTGTTTTTTATCACAGCCTGCTTCTTTATAAAGCACCTTGACTCCTAGAAGGTTATCAACCAAGGTAGCTCTGGCTGAACTGCACAGTTCCCAATGCTCTGATGTATGGGAAGAGGCCTGGCTCTGGAATCAAAGACCCGAGTCTGGACCTGGCTTCCAGAGGGCACTCCTAGCTTCAGGGAAGCTTCCCCACACCCATGGCAGACCTGCCTACATCCTCATGACCAAACCTGACCCTGAGCTTCTAGAGACAGACTCAAAGTTCAGGGAAGTTTTGGGGATGGAGGCCAAGGAACAGAGTGAGACTAATCCCAGGCAGCAGTGATCCTACAAACCCCAGAAACCACCAACTGCCCTCTGGGTCCTACACCCTTGCTGTCCATCCTTTAATCCAGAAAGTGGCACGTAGATCTGCCCTACTTCCTGCAGAAGCTCTGAATTTCCTCCCCACCATACTGCTTCCTACCACCTACCAAGTACCTACTTGCCCAGATTTTGCAGTGGGCCTATGGCTGCCAGGGTGAGCCTCTGACCCTCATCTACCTGATACATCCCTGTGCCTACCCAGGGACTCCTACCCAGGACTGGATGTCTCATAGAAAGAGTTAGAAATGTTTCCAACCAATTAAGGCTTGAAGCAAATTAAATAGCAAGGTCTGTTCCATTCAGAGAATACTTCAATAATCCTGTGAAATAACTGTAGATGATACCTGGCTTGATTTGGGTTTGAGGCTGGCATTTTGAATTTGTGAGTGTGTATGTATATATGCATGTGCCTTTAAAAACAATTTTATGGTTCAGTAAAAAAATTAAGACTTGGTTTATATGGGGCTCACAGTTTGGCAAATTAGTTGGTTTTACTCTTGTCTTTGGTCTAAAGTTCAACTTTGGGGTAAATTCTTGAAAGTTTGGGATCAAGTTGAATTCATCTTTGATATCCCCAGAACCCAGAAGAGTGCTTGGCACTTAGTAGGTGCTCAGTGAAGGTTGACTGATTAAATCAACAACAGTCTAGTATAGTCAAAAGCTATATAAGGAGCAGACCTACATTGGTCAGGACCGTTAGCTGTAGTTTGGCAACAGTCAGGAACGCTACCTGTTGAGTCACATGAGCACCCACCTGTTTGTTTGTTTGTTTAATATTTATTTGGCTGCGTCAGGTCTTAGTTGCAGCACGCGGGATCTTTGTTGAGGCATGTGGGATCTTTCGTTTCTGTGTGTGGGCTTCTCTCTAGTTGTGCCTCAGGCCCTGTTCTCTGCAACTGTGGCCATAGAAAAACTCAGCCACTTGCCAGAGCTACCCCAAGGCAGGAAGGGATGAGGTTGGGGGGCAGAAATACCCTTGATTCACCCTCTGATCTCCTGCTGCTGCATTCCACTGGCTAACCCCACTGGCATTCAGTCAGCAAAGGAGTCTGGGTATTGCGGTTCCCAGAGAGGAAAAAACAAACAAACAAAACAAACAAACAAGAAACAGCTCCCCAGGCCCTCTCCCAGTCACTGCAAAGACAATAATGGAGTACATGTTAAGCAACCCAGCAACCCAGACAGTTGGTGCGCATTATGAAAAAAAGATTTTCTGGGGACAATCTACAACATAGGAATATTAGCCCTCTTTTTTTTTTTTTTATTTTTTTAATTTTTTTTGCGGTATATGGGCCTCTCACTGTTGTGGCCTCTCCTGCTGCGGAGCACAGCCGCTCGCCGGCATGTGGGATCTTCCCGGACCGGGGCACGAACCCGTGTCCCCTGCATCGGCAGGCGGACTCTCAACCACTGCGCCACCAGGGAAGCCCTAGCCCTCTTTTTATGCTGATAGAAAATAATTTGGATTAAGGGAAATTTTTGGTAGAGTCTCTTAACTTATACTGTGCAGGATCCACCAAAGGCTAGAATGTAACATGCCTGCCAGCTCTTTTGAACAGAGACAATCAACAGAGGGTCAGATACGAGGAGGGGTACACACTCTCCCACTGCATTTAGAGAAGGTACATTCCCCAGTGTGCACAGCAGGGACTGGGGGGAATGACACTGTCAGTATGAATAGGCTCATATCCCACACGTTGCCTTCACTGAGGAAGAGAGAAGAGGGAGTGGTGGTTTGCGAACGGTAAGGGGATGGACTGAAATCACATCCAGAAAAGGAACCCAGTGCTCCTTGGGCAGCTAAAGAGATGGAAAATATCACTTAGCTGGGCCCTCTCCCCTGACCAAAGGAAAGAACATGTTCCCAATTGAGGAGACACTTACATTGCATAAGGCTTGCTCATGGTTTCCTTCACATTCGCCAGAGGCACAGTGTGTTTGGAATTTGAAGAAGCACAGGGAGCTGCAGCCAAAAATGAAAATATAGGAGACATGAGTGAGATGGGGTTGGGGAGGAGTACTTAGTCATTTTTGATATAACAGTAGGAAGTAAGTGAAATGTTCAGAAACAGTAAACAACTTTTACTCTCAAATTCTCGTATTTGGGACCAGAATCATGTTGTTGGATTTGACTGAGATCCAGGGCAGTGACATCTGCAGAAGGTCTGAAGCTAACCCTTGATATAATATTATCAGCAATTCCCTCATAAAAAGCAGCCAGTTGTGTCAGGGAAAGTTTTCAAGAAAATCCCCCACAGGGGTCTAAACCTTCTAGCATCTGCTTTATGTAATGCTTTTGTCTTTTTTGCTGGAATAGGAAATACAAATAGTTTCATGACCATTGTTCTTAAGTAAGCTCCCTTTTCTTTTGTTTTTTGTTTTTTTTTTTGGCTTGCGGGATCTTAGTTCCCCAACCAGGGATTGAACCTGGGCCCACAGCAGTGAAAGCCTGCATGCTAACCAGCAGACCACCAGGGAATTCCCTTAAGTAAGCTCTTTGCATGTTTCTGATGAGTAGGGGGATATATAACACATGAATATTAATATGCAATTATGTAATACATGTAAATAAAAATAATATAGCATAAATTAATAACTTCCTCTTCTGAACTTCTTTCATTTGGGGGACCTGCTGGATATCCCTCACTCTCCCAAATCTATTTGTGGCTCCTTTGTTTATGGATTTTCCTGGGACTTTCTGCAGCACCTGCCGCCCCCAACAACAACATGGCCACTGCCAAACGACTGCTAACGTGAACCCCTGGGGCTCCACTCTAACCAGTTCCTACAGGTGGCCTAGGGTGTCACTGCTGAGACCAGCTGGAGGCTCCAACAGGATTGCCTCAGCCTCAGCACTACCGACGCTAAGGGCCGGGCAATTCTTTGTTATAGGGGTTGAGCATTGTAGGATGTTTAAGAGCGTCCCTGGCCTCTCCCAACTAGACGTTACCCACTTGGTGACAACCAAAAATGTCTCCAGATGTTGCCAAATGTCTCCTGGGGGGTCATACGGCCTGCAGTCGCGAACCACTGGGCTATCCATACCCTCTGTCCACCCCCAATATGAGTGAGGAATGCCAGCTCTGGGTCCAGGAGTTCTCAGGCCCCTGAAGATGGCTGCCTTTAAGCACAGGTGCGATTACATAAAATAAATGCATTTCATGTAACAGGGAAGAAGATAGCAGGTGAAAGACTTTGAACAACTTTCTGACTCTTAATGTTCTGATAGTTTTGTCTCATTGTTAAAAGAATCAAAGTGAACCTATTCAAAAAAAAAAAAAGAAAGAACGAAAAGAAAAGAAAAACAAAAAAAAAGACAAAGTGAACCTATTCCAGAGAAAGGGGGGGGTCACCCCTGACTCAGGGCAGATCCACAAAGAAGGCAACCTTGCTAATCTGTGCTACTGTTCATCGTAATAACTATGGAAGCTTGGCTGGTGGACCATGAGGACCCTACAACCTGGCTTCGGTCCATCATTTGGGCCCCTCTCCCTTGGTCCCCACACAGACCACCCACAGTGGCCAAACAGGCATCCTCTTCATCCTGAATGTACCTTGCACTTCCCTTCTCTGCACCTGAGCCTCTGGAATAAACAAAATCTCAAATGTTCTTTCTACTCTGTCAGATCCCACAGACCACAATTGTCAAAATCTTGCCCATTTCAAATCACCTGTCACCTCCAAGAAGCCTTTCTTATCTCCCCAGAGAGATGTGATCTTATTCTCTATTAATACCCTCAACACAGTTTTTGTTAGTTATATAGTACTTAAGAATTCCTTTTGCGTTTTTGAGGTTGGTATCCATGCCATTCCCTCTGCAAAGAGCAGTTCATCTTTGCAGCCCCCAGAGGGGTGCTTCACCTGTAGTAAAGAACCAGTTTTTTAAAATACTATTTACAATCCATAATGGACTAGCGCTTTTGTGAAATACAATATAAATGAATTAGTAGGAAAATGACCAAGCTCTTGGATGTCATAGCTCTACTGTATTGCTATAAACATTTCTAAATGCTTGCTCTCACTTTCTGTACTCATTTCATTGTGAACTAGTAACAAATAATTCAGGGACTGGCACTGGTCCACAGACCCCTTCTTGAGTAGCATTGCCCTGGCACAGCAGCTTTCACAATAAAAAATCTACTAGAACAGCCGCTCTCAAATGTGGAGGGCTTGTTAAAAAAATGCAGACAGCTGGTCCCACCCCTAGAATTTGTGGTTTAGTAGGTATGTGGTAGGGCCTGAGAATTTTCATTTCTAACAAGTTCTCAGGTGGTGCTATTGCTGCTAGTTGGGGAGCACACTTTGAGAATCACTGGACTAAAGAAGAAAAAAAACAAATGTCAAGTACACTGCCCTCTCGTGGTGGTCTGTCCTCATAGCAAGTAGAGCCGCTAAAGTTACGGGCTAGCTTCACCAATGCATCCCTCTAAAGCAAATGTTAACAGCAACCATGTCGTTACACACTTGCCAACGGGCTCCAGACATGAGGAAGCTGTGAGAAGCCAGAAGGGTCCATACCTTGGGGCTGTTCTGGGCCCAGTTCCTCCACAGGTGGCTGTGCAGGTGATGCTGAAGAAGAACACTGGGGCAATGTTGGAGATGTGCCCACAGCGGAAGGCCCCAGGGACGTCCTGGATGACATAGATGACTGGGGGGGTGGGGATCTGGGTGGTGATCCAGTCAGTTGTACCTGCTGTGATGGTGATACGGGTGACAGCCCAGGTGTTGAGCTGGGGAGGAAGTGCACAGCTGGGAGTGATACAGGTGGCAAGTCAGTTGGAGAATGTGATGTTGATGAGGCCAGTGGCGATGCAGGTGGTGAAACAGGTGACGCCACAGGCCACTCACATGTGGATTCAGGTGTCTGCACAGGTGGGGACAGAGGTGGATCACGGCCACCTTTTCTTTCCCCTTTGGGAGCCCATTGTGTGTGAAGTTGTCTGGATTCTTCTGGACTGGCCCGCTCTGTTTGGAGGCTTGGTTGACAGTGTTCAGGGCACTCATTGCCAAGGGCGAGTTCTATCTGGCAGTACACTTCTACCCAGGGGAAAATCACTCTCTTGGAAGGAGAATTAAGGTAAGCAGCATCTAGGAAAAACAATAGCATGGGGTCACAGGTGGCATTACTAACCCCTGGCATCAGCATAGTATTTGCAAAAAATGGTTTCCCAAATTATTCTCATAAACAAGATTAGCGCTTTTCATTGTTTTTGTTCTGTTTTTGCTGTGCTGCACAACTTGCAGGATCTCAGTTCCCCAATTAGGGATTGAACCCCAGCAGCGAAAGCCTAGAATTCTACCCACTAGGCCACCAGAGACTCCTGGATTAGTGCTTTTCAATGGCCTTTCTTTACTTACTTGAATTTGTATTGACTATCTGATTGTGTTTTTGTTTTTTGGTTTTTGGGTTTTTTTGCGGTACACGGGCCTCTCACTTTTATGGCCTCTCCCGTTGCAGAGCACAGGCTCCGGACGCGCAGGCCCAGCGGCCATGGCTCACGGGCCCAGCCGCTCCACGACATGTGGGATCTTCCTGGACCGGGGCACGAACCCATGTCCTCTGCATCAGCAGGCGGACTCTCAACCACTGCGCCACCAGGGAAGCCTTCTGATTCTGTTTTGATCCACTTATTCAATGGATACTTATTGAGCAGCTAATATGTGCCAGGCATTATACCAGGCACTGAGGAGTTGAAGGAGACAAAAATAGGCCTCTTGGAGCTTACAGTCTAGCCTGGGAGCAGGTACTAACCACGCCAATAACCTCAAGTTTTAACCAAGACAAGTGCTAGGAAGTGAAGAATGTGGTACTAGGAGAGACGGGAGCAGGGAGGGCTTCCCAGAGGGAGTGACGTTTGAGCTGAGACGTGACAGGGGAGGGGTCCAGGGGGTGGTCAGGGTGGGATGAGGAGGAGCATTCCAGGCAGAGCGAACAGCACACACAAGGGTCACAGGTTCGGGAGAGCAGCAGGAAGCCAAGGCCCTGCGAGGTCAGTGTAGGTGGAACAGGGGTGGGCATACTTGTGATTGGACATGGGCCTGAGGAGACCACAGGGGCCAGACCATGCAAGGGCTTACAGGCGGCATCAAAGACCCTTGGTTTGGGCTTCCCTGGTGGCGCAGTGGTTGGGAGTCCGCCTGCCGATGCAGGGGACGCGGGTTCGTGCCCCGGTCTGGGAAGATCACACATGCCGCGGAGTGGCTGGGCCCGTGAGCCATGGCCTCTGAGCCTGCAAGTCCGGAGCCTGTGCTCCGCAGCGGGAGAGGAGAAAAAAAAACTTCTCCTTTTCAGAAGACACTGTTAAGGAGTTGAAAAGAGAAATCACAGACTGGGGGAAAATATTATTTGCAAATCATATTTCTGATAAAGGGCATTTATCTAGAATACATAAAAGCTCTTAATAAGAAAACAAATAATTCCATTTTTTAAATGGGCAAAAGATGGGAATTCCCTGGCAGTCCAGTGGTTAGCACTCTATGCTTTCATTGCTGAGGGACCAGGTTCTATCCTTGGTTGGGGAACTAAGATCCCACAAGCTCCCATAAGCTGTGTGCAGTGCAGCCAAAAAAAATAAAAATAAAAATAAATGGGCAAAAGAGTCAATTGAAAGGGCTCCCGATGGCCAAAGGTGGGACACTTAGAGTAAGAAAATAAATAAAGTAGGACTGAGTAATAACCCACAGAATAAAATAAGTATCAACGAGTCCATACTAATATAAACAAATGATTGAATAGGTAAACAAATGATTGAATAGGCAGAGAAAGAGACACATCTCTCATGATGAAGAAATCCCAATAATTTCTGTAGATACTTGGCCCTTAAGGAAGTGGAGAATAACTCCCTACTTCTTAGTGACTTCCTTCCAAAGAGCACAGTATGGAAAGGAAGAGTAGATTTACAGTGGAAAAACCCGACAAACACCACCTCACAGCATGTACCCTTGATACAATGTGATGAGAATGGCACTTTGCCTCTGTGGTCCTTCCCCCGCAAACCCACAACCCCAGTCTAATCATGAGAAAAACACCAAGCAAATCCCAACCGAGGGACATTCTACAGACTACCTGGCCAGTAGGTCATTAAAAACAAGGAGATTCTGAGCAACTGTGACAGACAAGAGGAGCCTAAGGAGACAGCACAACTAAATGTGATGAGGGATCCTGGGTCAGAAGAAGGACATTAGGTAAAAACTAAGGCAATCTGAATAAAGTATGGACTTTAGTTCGTAACGATTTATCAACATTGGTTCACTAATTGTAAACAATATACCATACTATGCACCAAATGACGTGTGTACCATGCTATAACATCTAACAAGTGTGAGATCTAAAACAATAGGGAAACCTAGATGTGGGGTCTATGGAAACTCTCTGTACTATTTTCACAGTTTTTCTGTAAATCTAAAATGATTCTAAAAAATAAAGCATATTCAAGGTCTAGGGGAAAATAGGCAAAAGAGTTGAACAGACACTTCACCAAAGAATATATTTGAACAACTAATAAGCCAAGGAAAAGATGCTCAGCATCATTAGTCATTAGGGAAATGCAAATTAAAACCACAATAAGATACTACCACATACCTATTAGAATGGTTAATATTAAAAAGACTGACCATACCAAGTGTTGGTGAGAATGTGGGGAAGCTGGAATTCTCATTCACTGTTGGGAATGTAAAATGGTACAACCACTCTAGAAAACAATTTGGTAACTTCTTAAAAAGTTAGACATACATTCTGGGTATGTTTCTCAGTCCGTACATATCCAAAAGTATTGAAAATAGGATCTCGAAGAGATATCTGCACACCCATGTTCATTGCAGTATTATTCTCAATAGCCAAGAGGTGGAAGCAACCCAAATGTCCACTGACGAATGAATAGATAAAGAAAATCTGCTCTACATGCACGATGGAATACTATTTAGCCTTAAGGAAGGAAATCCCGTCAGATGTTACAACATGCATGAATCTTGAGGACGTTATACATGAAATAAACCAGTCACAAAAAGACAAATACTGTTATGATTCCACTTACATGAGGTACCTAAAGTATTCAAACTCATAGAAATAGAATGGTGGTTGCCAGGGTCTAGGGGGTGGCGGAAAAGGAGAGTTGGTTAATGGGTATAGAGTTTCATTTTTGCAAGATGGAAAAGTTCAGGAGATTGGTTGCACACCAGTGTATGTTTAACACTACTGAATTGTACACTTAAAATGGCTAAGATGGTAACTTTTATATTATGTGTGTTTTACTACAATTAAATACATTACATTTTATATTAAAATATTATATGTTATACATATATTTGTAGACATATACACATTACATATTAAACATGCATCCACCATATGATCGGGTCATTCCATTCCTGGGTATTTACCCAAGAGAAATGAAAGAATTTGTCCATACAGAAATTCATGCATGAATGTACATAGCAGCTTTATTCATAACAGCCCCAAATTGGATACAACTAAAATGCCCATTAACAGGTGAATGGATAAATGAACTGTGGTATATTCATTCATACAGTGGATTGGAACGCAAAAAGGAATGAACTATTTATACCATGCAATGACATGGGTGAATCTCAGAATAATTATGCTGAGTGAAAGAATGCAGACAAAAAAGAGTTCATACTATAAGAGTTCATCTATCAAAAACTCTAAAAATGCAAATTAATCTATAATGACAGAAAGACATCAGGGTTTGCTTGGGGATGGTGGGATGAGGGAAGGTGGGAGGGATCCCAAAGGGGCATGAGGAAACTTCAGGCATGATGGATTGTTCCCTATCTTGATTGTGGTGCTGGTTTCGCAGGTGTGTGTGTCTGTGTCTGTGTCAAAACTCACCCAATTGTGAGTGGGAGGAAGGGAGGGAGGAAGGTCAGTTTGGTCGGGCATGGCTGGATACGGGATGGATATTTCAGACATGGCATCCTCTGAGCTCCAACCTCACCATGTACACGTGTCTGTGTGGGGAATGTGGATTTTCAAGGATGCCAGCAAGCAGTGTCCTTCCCTTTGGTAGAAGGCTGCTGTCAGGGGAGGCCAAGGGTGAAGAGGGAGGCTCACCTGGTGGCAGGAATAATTAGGTAGATGTGAACCCTTAGGAGGGAGGAGAAAGAGGATGCCAGGATGTGAGCTGAGGAGTTGAGGGTGACACCTTGCAGGTGTGGCTTCCTACCTGAGCTGACCCCCTTTCAGAAAGCAGGCAGGAGGCTGGAGCAGACTTCCGTTTTCCGTTCCCAGATGGTAGGTGGGGATTTCTCAGGCTATGTCAGTATTTCCTGCTTGCATCTGGTGCCGGGAGAAAACTCCAGGCCCACCAAACCCAAGAGGATTTAGGTGCCGGAGCTGAAACTTGCACTGAGAAAGCCACACACACATTTGCAAATTGGGAGAGGAAGCAAAAACAGCTGGCAGCCAGCACGAGTTTTTTTCTCCCTTATGAGTTGTGTCTGTTCCTACTCGGAGTGATTCCAGGGCCATTGGGGAAAACCTGCCATCCTCCATATACTGCCCCAATTCAGGAGTGGATGCCTGCAATGCTACTATTAGAGTTTCATCCTTGGGTTTAAGACTACCGTTCATACCTGTGAAAATGTCCACACCAGCTAAGGGCGGAAGCGGGGAGGGTGAGAGGGTAAGGGGTTACTGAGAAATGGGGGAGACTAGAGATGCTTAACAGCCCACTTTGTAAGTCTTCCCAGGGCTTGCACTGAGAGGAAGAGAAAGGAAAAGTTCTAGGCGAGAGACAGGTATGGAGGCAGCCAGGTAGCCAGGATGCAATCTGAGGTGTAGCGGGATTTCCTGGGGCAGGGAATTGGTGTCTGCTCCGAGATCCAAGAACCAAATCAGGGGCTCCCAAAACCTCAAGCCCTCGATATACACCATCACTGAGGAAAGAATGGAGGGGCTCCCCACCTGGGGCAGAAAGGACCACAGGCCCTAGCCAGACCCTCCTATTCCCTAAGCTCTGCAGGTGAGACCTCATCTCCACCACCCCCACCCCCTCAGGTCGTCCTCCTTTTGGACACTGGGGGCTCGGCTTCACAGCTGTCGCCTGTGAAAATGTGGAAGATGGGGCAGTTGTCAGAGGACAGTCAGGGTTAGGAGGAGTCTGTCTGCAGAGAGGTCAGAGGGGGCAGTGGACTGGATTGACCGTGGCTAGGAATAAAACTCAGAGGTAGGTTCCACCATCAGCCACCTTGTACAGATGAGAAAACAGTCCCCAGGAGATGAATTACTTGCTCAAGGTCACATAGTTGGTGTGTCAAAAACCAGGATCTAAACCCTTTTTACAGATTTGGAACTAAGACTCAGAGAGGGAGAGTGATTTCCTGGAGCTCACACAGCTTGGGGGATGGGGATCCTGGCCCAGGGCTCCTTGCCTCCAGAGCCACATTCTCTCCATCCTGTGCTCCTGCTCCCTACCCCACTAGTCGGGAGAATGGACCCAGGAGAAAGTAAAGAGTTAGGACAGCGGAGCTTAGGAAAGCAGGAAGCAATGTTTTGGCTGCACCACGCAGCATGCAGGATCTTAGCTCCTCAACCAGGGATTGAACCTGCACCCCCTGCAGTGGAAGCACGGAGTCTTAATCGCTGGACTGCCAGGGAAGTCCCAGCAGGAAGCAATTTTGAAGAAAAAAAGTGTACATATCCTATGAGAAAAACCTCATTCAACCCCTTAATCTCACTCCTTAAGTATATTTTTTAAACTACATACACAAAAAGGTCACCACAGCATTGTTTATAATAGTGAACATTTGGAAACCCAAGAATGATCAAAGTATTCTGTACAACCGTGATGGAATATTATACAGGTGCCAAAAAGCCAGTTACAAAGACCATATGGCAACATGGAAAAAAATTTATTATATAACATTAGGTAAACCCTTTGATCCAGAAATCCCCTTTTTCTGGAAATATGCTCTACGGAATTAATTCTAAATACAGAAAAGCATTTTTTCTTTCCTTTTAACAAAGATGTTTGCATGGCCTTCATGGAGTTAGTGTGTGTAGTGTATGCCTTTGGAATCTTCCTCCCACCCAGATAATACACAGAGGATACACAGGGGTGGGACCATGCTTTCCAAACCAACTTAGGGCAAGGGCTCTTCTCTCTCATTTGTTGATCAATATGTCACTCAAAAGTCTCACACAAACATAAACTAGTCACATCTAGTTCTACAGTAACAATACTGTTTCATTGGAAAGAGAATAAAATGCAAGAAAATGTAATGATATGAGAATGGAATGCTCCAGGGAGATATGAGCTATGTATTTCCTAAGCATAGTTTTTAAATTCAGAAATACATTTGTACAAAAGCCCTAGACACTGTCCCATCAGTTAACCTAAAGCCCCTTTTCCACAGTGGTCCTAATTTCTGGCCACAGTAACATCTGGACAATGAAGGCTGTCAGGTCCCTCTGCCCATTTCCAGCTCTCCTGGGTGAAGAGCACCTCCGGTTCACAAACTGGGGGGAGATGCTCCTCTATCCAGCCCTTCTACTTCCTGTCTTTGCCCCACTTTCCTCCTCTTCCTCGGGGCACCACATAGTACTTACTCAGCCGCCTCAAGTACGAAACAGCATCTTCGTACCCTCTGTAGTAATAATCGTGCAGGATCTGCAAGGAGGGGCACCAGGAAAATAACTAAGGCTGTAGCAACAGAGACACCCATAGTCCCCTCTTCCAAAGCAGTTGCTTTCATTGCTCTTAAGCTTTATATGATGAGCTTTTCAAAATGTGCCCATCCTTCAGTACCTGCTAAGAACAGCTGATCATCAGCTTCCCCTGGGCCGGAGAGGGTGCGGCCCAGAGAAGGTGCATTTGGACAGTATAAAGAGCAGCATTTAGAGACTGGGTTCAAATCCCAGTGCTGCCACTTACTGGCTGGGTGGCTGGGTGAATGTAACCTCTCACAGCCTCAGTTTCTTCACTTGTAAAATGGGAATAAAACAGTATCTATCACAGAGGATGCTGGAGGATTACACCAGATACTGCCCACAATGCCTCTTCTGTAAAAGGCCAAACAGTAAATATTTGGGGCTTCGTAGGCCACATATAGTCTCTGTCACTTCTTCTTCTTCTTGTTTTTTTTTTTTTTAAACAATGCTTTAAAAATAGAAAGTCCATTCTTAGCTCACAGGCTGTATAAAAACAAGTCCTATGCTGGATTTGGCCCCTGGGCCATAGTTTGGTGAACCCACATTGTATGTCAAAATGGGAGAGTTCAGACAACATTGCTATCGGTGGTTCTGAGATCATCTCACTTTACAGGGGAGAAAATTGAGGTTGGGAGCACTTAGGGCCCTTGTTCAAGCTCACATACCCAGCTGGCAGCAAGGCCGGGATACAGCTTTAGGAGGAAGTTTAAGGGATCGTTTGAGATGGACCGAATGGGCCTCATTGGCTCCCCCATCCCACTCCAGACCCCATCACCCTTTCCGGCTCTCCTTGCCCACCCCCCAGGTCCCTCCTGTCTCTTACCACCAGGTCTGGGGGGAACAGGGCATGGATCATCCTGGCAATGTTCTCCAGGGAGAACTGGAAAGAGCAATTGAATATGCGGAAGTCACAGATGTTGGCGGGGCAGTCCCGCGGGCAGATGTCCTGCTGACCACTGAAGGTGGAGATGGTGATGGAGTCCGTCCAGAAGGAGCAGGGCTGCATGCCCGAGAAGGCCCCGTCGATGTACCGCTGCAGGGCGGAGGGGGGAGGCAGAGTGAGAAATGCTCATCTGGGGTCATAGGTCCTCTCCCCCACTCAGGGAGAGCAAAGAAATAGGTCCCTTGGGAGAAGCTTTGACGCCAAGGTCCGGGGGCATCCATACCCTGGATGAAGCAGGAACGAATGCTTCCCTGTCACGTTACCCCTCGTGGAGTCCCTTAACAGCTGAGGGCAGGGCCGGGGAAAGGAGCTCATCCACAGGGCCTTTTGAGAAGGTGCACATGTGGTGGGTCTGAGGGGTTGTGAAACATCCCTCCTCCAGACTGCCCTGGGTCCAAGCTGCCTCCCTCTGTTGAGGTCAGACACCCTCAACACCCTCCAGAGCACCCCTGACCACCCTGTGTCCACCCTCAAGTCCCTTCCCCTCTTGAGGCTTCTGTTTCCTCAGCTGTGAACAAAGGATCACAGATACTGAGGCTCTAACCCTCTGGATGCCTGCGAATTAAATGAATGACATGCAATACGGGGGTCCATCTACTAGCTGATTCGTAATCTCTGGATCTCATTTTCTCTACACATAAAATGAGGAGAGGGCACGGGTTAAATCTTCCTATTCAGGGTGCTGTCCGTGGACCAGCAGCACTGGCGTCAGCTGAAGTTGATTAGAGGTACAGAGTCTCAGACCTACCGAATTTTCCTACTGGGGAAATCTGGCAAACCTGTGGAAGCTTGACTTGCTGGGTTCAGTAATGTGTTGGTGGGTCCAGAGAGAAGCCCAACTTAGGGGGAGAAGGTCTTCTTAAAGCCCCAGAAATCTATCTACGCTGGGAATTCTGAGTAGGAAACCACAAGGACCTTTTCAATTCTTGGTCTTCCCACTGAATTCTGAGACCATTCCTCCCAAATGTGGGTCACAGGGGCCCTGAGGCACCCCTGGATCCCAGCTCACCTGCCTTCCCACACTGAGGTACTTACCACGCCGCGGTAAGTTGGAGGAATGAGGCCACAGTACACAGGGACAAAGCAGCTGCAGTACAGGGCCTGTGGGGGAGAGGACAGGGTTGAGATGCCCAAGGCCTGGGGGCTGGGTGGGGAGGGATCACCTGCGGGCATCTGGGACACCATCAGCCTGGCCCTTCTTAAACCCAAGGTGGAGTCACTGCCCTGGGAAGTGGAGCCCCAGGTTCAGCTCCTGGCTGGATCCTTGGTAACCTACTTGGTCAGGCTGGGCCGGATGTCTCAGTTTTAAAGGGAGAGAGTGGCCTCAATGATCTGCAGGGCTCCTTCTAGCACCAAATTTCCATGAATCCAATGGGATTCAAAAACCATTAATGTGTGTCTGGCCTGGGCCTGGAATCAAAGGAGGGTGAGATGCCCACCCTTGGGAATGCTCAGAGGGGGACCAAGCAATTAGGTGACAGTACATGGGGTGACAGGTGCTGTGATGGAGGTAAGCATGGGCATCGTGGTCCCAAAGAAGAAGCACCCAACCCAGGGGTTGCAAGGCAGGCAGGTGATGAAGGAAAGTTCCCTGGCAGGAGTGACTGGAGTCTCACCAAGCAGGTGAAGTGGGGTGGGAAGGAGGGAAGGGCATCCGGCACGAGGCAGGAGGCACGGCAGGTGCAGACACAGAGGCCTGCTTTGTGTGATTTTCTCCAGTTGGCATGGGTAAGAGTGGGAGGTGGTGGGAGAGGGCTGGGGAGAGAAAAGTCTTGAAGAGCTGGGTGCTAATAAACCCAAGGGACATGAGGTAGCTGGAGGAGGTATCCATGTCCCTGCCTATTCATCCCCAACCCCCAGGGTCAAGGCCATGCCAGTGTGGGGATGTGAGGATGGGTGGCGAGGGTCTTGTATTCAGAGGAGGGGAGGGGATTGGAAATATGGGTGGAGGGTCATGCAGCTCAACTCTTGCCCTGAAAGAAAACTGGACATAACCACAGCACTCTCCAGCAATAATAAGTCATAACTAAAATGTATATTAGTGAGCTTAGAACAATGCACTGTCAGAATCCCCTTTCCTAAGTGTTAACCCGTTTAGTGATAACAGTCCTTTTTATCAAGGACCAGTGGAAGGGAGGGGGCGGAGGGAAGCTGTTCCCACAAACTGGGAGTAATTTAGTGGGGAAACACTGAAGTCCAGGCCCTAGAGGAGCCATGGGACCTCTGTTGGTAATACAAATGGGCCTCTGAGAAGCTGCAGGATTAGAGCAGAGGGCAAGACAGAGGCAAAAGGAGGCAGACTCTGAGTGCTGAAATGTAGGATGGTGAGCAAGTCTGATTAGTTTTTGGCTTCTCTGTGTCCATCTTGTCTAACAGCGTGCCTGACACAGAGAGATAGATGCCAGGAGGGTGAAGGGAGGGAAAAACTAGGGGGGCAGAAAGCAGAAGGAAGGAAGTGAGGCAGACAAGTGGATCATCCCAGAGGCCCGTCAAGAGAAGCAGGGCCAGCCTCTCCTTTCCTGTCCCAACTCCCTGGGCTCTGCCCCCACTCCCTGGCCCCGCCCTTATTCCTAGCCCCGCCCCCTCCCTTATTCCCAGGTCCCGCCCCCTTGCCTCCATGAGCTCTTCCTTGGATGTATATTCTGAAACCACAACACTCTCTCCATCCGTGAACCGGGTGAGGCTCACGTGGAGCTTCCCCGTGGCGACCTTGTAGGAGTCCTCAGGCAGGACCCGGTACAGAAACTGCCTCATCATCTGCACCACCTTACAGGACGGGGACAAGGGCCCCAAGAAGGATTTCTTCACCTCGGCCACACCCACACTGAGGACTCGGAGGTACTCATCTGTGGAGGAAGCAGAGAGGAGTGGGAGCTCAGCGGCCCCCGTGGCAAAAAGAGGTCAAGGGCGATTTCGCCATCTCATCCTGCATCCAACAAATGGGGAAACCTGTAATTCTGACGCAGGGAAGGTCTCAGGCATCAACCTGTCATTCTGCACACAAGGAAAGCAAGGCACGGAGGAATGTAGTCACTGGCTCCAGAGAGCCCACAGCTAGTCAGGCGTCCTGACTCCTTCCTGTTGAGGGCAGAGGACCACTTTTCTACCCCAGATAGCTTTCCCTATCACCATGCCTGAAGTCCACCACCAGACTGCATTCTTTCGAGTCTTAGAGGCTTTTGGCCCCATATGAGATTCCCATTAAATATGGCTGAAAGCCTTCACCAAGTGACACCCTGGGATGCTTGCTTAGTGCTGGCAAAGTCTGTGGGGCTGCTGACCTTGAGGCAGGGGAATTACAGGGAGTGGTGAACTTGGTCTTGAAGCCATTGCATCATCTTCCTTTTATGGCCCCTGGTACAGGCCTGAGAGGGAGAAGGCCCTAAATTACAGACCCAAGGCTGTGCTGCAGGGGTTCCCAGGAGGGCGAGGTGAACCTTCTGTCTCCTTCTGAGAGGAGCACAGCCTGGGCACATGAGGGCCTACACGTGCCAGATGGGGCTTGGAGGGCAGATGCGTTGTCCAGGGGCTGGCAGAGGAAGGTGTAACCCACCTGCCCCCCACATTCCCCAGAATTCTACCAGGGAAGTTAGAGTTGTAAGCTTAGTAAGAAGTGCTATCACAGCAATACTGTGAGGTAGGTATTTCTATCCTCATCTTACTGATCAGGAAACTAAGGTTCTGAGAGCTAATATAAGTTGCCCAAGGTCAACCATCTAGTAAGTGTACAAAGTGGGATTTTAACCTAGAGTGTGTGACCCCGGAACCCATACTCCTTCTGTTACAGTAAGCTAAAAGCTTTCAGAGCTGGGACTGTACCTGCCTCTGGCCAATTGCTGCTAATTTCTACCTTGTGCAAACCCACTGGGAAAATCAGGAGCAGAAATAGCTCTGAAAAGAACTGCTAATTTTTTAAACAAATATTTAATTGTAAAACATCATATACAGAAGAACTTTCTTACAATTAGTGTCATGCAGTGAGAGCTACCTGGGAAGTTGTGCAGTCATGAACTCTTTGCCACTGGAGGTAACCAAGCAGAGGCAGGACAAGTACCTCGGTCAGAGAACTTATCAAAGGGATTCCTGCATGGGTGGTAAGGGCTAAGATTCCTTCCAACCCTGAGATTCTGGGATTCTCATGGGCACCTGACAATCTGAGAAGCCATCACACTGCACGTTACTTTCCTGTTTACAAATAGAGCATCTGAAGCACAGAACTGTTTAAGTGATTTGCCCAAGGTCACACACAGCAATCTGGGGACAAACCAAAGCTAGGGAGGCTCTACTCCTCTTGCATTTTACCATTTACAGATTATTCCTCATTAATCCGGGGAGCGGGTAGGATAAGGAACTTTAGTATCATTTTGTAGATGCAGAAGCTGAGGCAGAGAAAAGCTAAGTGTCCTACCCGAGGTCAGACAGCCAGGCAGTATTTGTTCTGACTCCAGACTCCACCTTCTTTCCCTGAGTGTTGGACTGATCCCAGAGGCTGAGCAGCCTGGGTTGCCATGGTGACGGCTTTTTCTCTCCAACATTCAGAATCACAACTGCCTCTGTGTAGTAGAGGCAGTAGACCTGATCAACACAGCGTCTTAGCCATCACTCCCTTACAGGGGAGGGTGCTCCTGGCTAACTGGGAAGGCCCTGCAGTTTTAGCAAGGTTAGCTTTACCAAGCACCAACTTGTACAAACTGTTTTGCCTCAAGGGAGGGCGGCAGCCAACCCCCCAGTAGGTTATGAAGCAACTGAGCATTTTGATACCAAGGTGTTGGGTCATTGAGTTCTTGCCCGCAAGACCAGTCAGGATGGGGAGTGGAAACAGGGTGGGGACTCGCTGTTTTGGAAATTCTTAATGAGCAGCTTGAAGTGGCCTCACAAGGGTTGGTGGCCTTTCCCACAATGCCTCAGAGCCAGGAGCACCTGATTCAGCTTGCCCGTACACTCCTGGACTCCCAGCAGGAGGCGCTTGCTGGGACAACTGGAAGGAAATTTGTTCTCGTTGCACAAGAAATACATGTTCATGGTGGAAAAAAAAATTTTTTTTTAATGCAGATAAGCAAAAAGAAAAAAATTTTAATGTCTTAGAATCCCTCCACCTAGAGATTAACATTCGGTATATGTCTTCCTAGATTATATATTTTATATTTATTCTTACTTATAAGAATACTTATATGGAGTCATACTGTATACACTATTTTGTAACTTGCTTTTTACACCTAATAAATCATGTCTTTCCACATCAATAAGTAACCATTTATAACCCAATTTACGGGCAGTATGGACAGCTATTGTAAGGTTATACCATTATTTATTGAGCAGGTCCCCAACAGGGTTGGCTATTTAGTTTCCTTGCTTTTCTAAACAATGCTGCAATGAATAGTCTCTTGCTAAATTCTTTGCCTGTGTCCTTAATTACTTTCTGTAGGATAAATTCCTGGAGGTGGGAATGTTAGGTCAAAGGCATGCATATTTAGTCTTATAAAACTTACTTAAATCATTGCTTTTGTATATTTTCCACTTACAGTCAACTCTCAGCTATATAGGGATGGTAGCGGGTGACAGGGACAAAGCAGTGGCCAAGATAACACAGACATCTCCTATATACTTACATCTGAAAAATGGTGCTATCTGGAAATTAGCAAGGTAGACAGGGAGGAAGGGGGTGGGAGATTGCCTGATTTCTCCCACTCAGGTGCCCAGTTTAGTATTCTTCCCTGCTGCTCACCGGGGCTGTGTACCAAAGGATGCCTTTACCTCTGTCTCTCCTTGCTTCTCCTCAGGTGTCTCTCTGTGCATCTCTGTCTTCAGAGTCTCTATCTCTTTCTCTCTCTCTCTCTCTCTCTTCCCCTCTCTCTCTGTCTCTTTCTCAGAGAAAAACAACTAACCTTCTGGTTAAACAAGTCTCTGTTGATAGAAAGTCAGGTGTTAAGCATAGCAATTGCTGGGGGTCTACCAGGAGGGATAGATTTAGCTTGTTTCTTTACGCAACTCTGTTCTTTCCAGCACCTTCTCCCGTTTAAAGGCCTCCTTCCAAGCTGCAGGCTGCTGGGCTCTGAGACACAGTGTCCCACAGTGGCCAGAGCAAGTCGGGATTTAAAAGCAGCACTGGGAACTCAAGGCGGGCTGCTCCCACCCCCAGCCCACACTTACCACATCCACTTCTGCTCCCTCCCACCTCCTTTCACACCTTTCTATTATCTAATTGCAGGTCTGTTTCCCAAAACCAGGAGATTCTCTGAGGGCAGGTGTTTGTGGTCCTCCTCTCTCCATGGCCTATCACTGCACTTTGCCCATGGAAGACCCTTCAGAAACTTTGCTCTAAGCTGGGAACTCCTCAAGGGGAGGGATGGGCCCCATTCACCTACACCCACTAAGCCTCCCACAACACTTGGTGGGTGCTTGGTGTTTGTTCAGTATGTGAACAAAGGAAAATACAAACCCAACAAAGCAGGCGATGGAGATGCTTACAGGGAAGAGTTACTTGACTTAATTACCCAATAAAAACTTGAAGACAAGATCATCACAGATAGATGGATAGATAACAGAGTTAGCTATATTGATAAATGCGTGCCAAGAACTTCAGCAGGAAATTAAATAAGATCCTGGGACCAGGAGGTTTTGAAGGGCATGTGGAAGCCACTCCAGTGTCAGCCACTCAGAGACTCTTTTCTGTGACCAGACCCATTTCTTGGAAAAAGCTCAGGCTTTGGAGCCAGGGAGATTTGGTTCAAATCCTAGCTTTGCCACATACTATCTGGGTCACCACTGGCAAGTCAAATAACTTCTTCCAGCCTCAATTTTGCCACCTATAAAATGGGAATAATAATAATACTTACCTTACTGGGTTGTTATGAGGAAGATAGTTTTTTAAGAGCCGGCACATAGTAAGTGCTCAATACTGGTTATGCCAGTAATTCTCCATGTGACCATGGACAGGGTTTCTTGATGTTTCTGGCCTTTCAGCTTTCTCATTTGAACAGGGGACAATGATCTCGGCCCCATATCTTTATCAAGGTGCACTCAGGGCTTCCCTGGTGGCGCAGTGGTTGAGAATCTGCCTGCCAATGCAGGGGACATGGGTTCAAGCCCTGGTCCCGGAAGATCCCACATGCCACGGAGTAAATAAGCCCGTGTGCCACAACTACTGAGCCTGCGCTCTAGAGCCCGTGAGCCACAACTACTGAGCCCATGTGCCGCAACTACTGAAGCCCGCGCGCCTAGAACCCGTGCTCCGCAACGAAGAGAAGCCCCCGCTCACTGCAACTAGAGAGAAACCCATGCACAGCAACGAAGACCCAACGCAGCCAAAAATAAAAATAAATAAATAAATTTTTTTTTTTTAAAAAAAAGGTGCACTCAGGCTCACTTGTGGGTTCAAGACAACAAAGTAAAAGCACTGTGGAGGTAAGAGGATGTACCCGGTTTTAGGGAGTGGTAAGGGTATGGGTGAGGGGTAACGTAGTTTAGGCATGGTTGACAGCAGCATTCCTTACCCTGTCAACTTGGGGGACCCTACAGATTTAGTAGGGGAAAAGGGGGGCTTAGTAAAATCATTGACGAGGAAGGAAAGAAATAGATATGTGTTTATCTCACTTATATGCTTAAGTGCGTAATGTTTTCCCCTTCATGAGGGCAAGGATGGTCTCCATCTCATTCATCCCTTTGTCCCTAGCACTTGATATAGTGCATGGAACATGGCAGGCACTTAATAAACATAGATGCATGCATGAATAATGAATAAATGAATGAAACCAGAAATCAAGGGAGGACACTGCAGCCCAGAGAGAGAAGAAGCTATTCAACGTGACCCAGAGTGTAAAAACAGGGCTTCTCTTTCCCTCCCTCA